GAATGTTTTTCCCAGCTTCTGCTGCATCTGCCAGCACTGCTGCTCTTCTCTCTTTGAGGTCTTCCTTTTTCGCTTCAATCACTGCTTTGCAAGCTCAGACATTCACTTTTGGTTGCCTGAGGCTTGCACCAAGACACATTGACAAATAAGCTGAAGTTTTAAAAACAGACTTTTTTTGCTATCTTTCTCTTGGTGTTCCTCGCACAAACATGGAGGTGCTGCACCAGTCCATCATATTCTTCGTCAATTTTGTCAACAACAGCATCTTCACATGTTGCAGTGATAGTGCCAAAGAGATCCCAGTTGGTGGTCATTCTGGGAGTTCTCTTCTTAAACTTGGCAGCCCTTTCTCCCCGCTCCATGAAGTAGAATTTTGCATGAAGGAGACAGTGGTCCGATCCCATTTGGAATTTTGGGACAACAGTGACATTGGTCAGGCAAAACCGTCGATTGAATATGATATAGTCAATTTCATTGTGGTACCGTTCACCAGGAGACTCCCATGTCCAACGTTTAGATTCGGCCATCTGGAACTGTGAGTTACCAGGGATGGTCTTGGTCGACATGGTAAACTCAGTCTCTCACCCTGTGCGTTTCATCCTAGGCCATGGGTCCCGGCGTGGAGTTCTTCGGCTGATCTCCTTGGCCCTATCCTGGTATTAAAATAACTGACAATGATCTTGTAGAAGGTGTGGTTTTCTTTATAGAACTTCTCCAGCTCCATGTGGAACTTCTCAATTTCTTCTTCATCATAACTGGATGTTGGTGCGTAGACAACGAAGACAGAAACTGCTGGCAGTGAGCCACATCTATTTAAGTGTAATCATCCAGTTCGAGTTGTTAGGCATTCAAATGAATCAATGTTCATGGCCAAGTTCGCGTTGACAAGGACACCATCACCACCAACATCTCTTTTATTGTATGTTCCGAGGAACAGTTCTCCAGTGTGAAAATGGCGTGATGTGATTGATGCCTTCTTGTCTCGGTCAGACCAATGATGACACACTTGATCTTTTGCGCTTGTACCATTAGGTACTGATGGATGTATCCAATGCTAGTGTACGTGCACTGAAAGTACAGACAGTCATTTTTGTCTTTCTTCGTTCAGAAGCCTAGTTTGGCCTTGAGATTTTATCAGCTTTTCCTTCCTCATCCTTCTTAATGCTGCCGTATTGGTGGCTCTTTGAGGGTCAGGGGAATGAGACCCATTGTAGTTACTAGTTTTGGCATATAGAATACACAAAGGATAGCTTGCCAGGCTCTGCCGTGCGGGCGGGATATTCTTGATTGCTTTCCAGGCTCTCCGAGAGGGATTGAGGCTTTTAGGGCAGCCTCTAATCACTCTTGCCAGGTGTTGCCTCAAAATCCAAAAATAAAAAGGAATATGTAGGGATATATAAAACTAAAAAGCTATGAGAAACATCAGCAAAAATGAAAAGTCACCTACAGAAGAGGAGAAAATAGTTTCAAATAACATACCTGATAAGATTTTGATATCCAGAAATATCTGAAAAACTCATACAACTCAATAGCAAAACAATCACACAATTTGATTTTAAAAAGCACATGAAACAATCATCAGTGTTATAAACCACAGTACCTCAATCAATAAAAAAAAAACAAGAAGCCTCTTAATATGGAAAATCACAAAAGTGAAAAATAGATATGGGTAAAAAGAAATTAAGCTGATCATTCCTAAATAAGACATACAAAGGGCGTACAGGTGCATGAAAATGTGCTCAATGTCACTAATTGACAGGGAATTAGAATAAAAACGAGTAATTATTACCACACACCCGGTAGAAGTATTAGCAAAGACAAGAGTTAAGTGTTAGTAAATATGTGGGGAAAAAGTCACCTTTACATACTTTTAGTGGGGACGTAAACTGGTATAACATGTCATGGAAAAATTAAAGATATTCCTCAAAACCCTGAAAGAACCACATTTTCTGAAAGCCCCACTTTCAAAGAAGATGGTGACAGAATATAAGAGAAAGCTGCACTTACATATTCACTGTAACACTATTCACAATAGTCAAGTTATAGAGAAAACCTAAGTCTAGTCAAGGAATGAATGCATAACACTATGTAATATTTACCTATACAATGGAACATTATTAAAACTTGAGAATAGAAGTAATCTCCTTTTCACATTATGGATAGACTTCTAGAGCACTATTTAGATATCACTGTCACTGTTCTCCCGTTGTTCATCGATTTTCTCGAGCGGGCCCAGTAACATCTCCACCGTGAGACTTTGCTGTTACTGTGTTTGGCATATCGAATACGTCAATTTAGATATATTAAATATGTTTGGTATCACTTTTACGTGGAATCTTTTTATAAAAATACTGAACGTGCAGAAGCAGAAGCAGTGCAAAAGTAAGTGCCAGAGTCCGGTTGATGGAGAAAAAGGTAGAGGTTGGTAAAATAGACAAACTTTGTTATGAGATGAATAAGGACTCAGAATCTATGGATCAAACATACAACACATTAACTATAATTGATAGTATTGTATCATACAACTGAAATTAGATGAGAGTACAACATAAATATTCTCATCCCCCCAAAACAGAGAAAATAAAATTTACAATAGTCACAGCAGTAACTGTCACTGTCCTCCCATTGTTCATCGATTTGCTCGAGTGGGCCCCGTAATGTCTCCATTGTGAGACTTTTTGTTACAGTGTTTGGCATATCGAATACGCTGCGGGTAGCTTGCCAGGCTTTGTCATGCAGGCAAGATACTCTCAGTAGCTTGCCTGGCTCTCTGAGAAGGGCGGAGGAATTGAACCTGGGTCGGTCAGGTAGGCTGTGTGCAAGGCAAACCCCTACCGCTGTGCTATCGCTCCAGCCCCCCAAATTGCATGACTTTATCCTTTTCTTAAGGCTGCAAAGTATTCCATTGAGTATGTACTATAGTTTGTTTATCTGGTTGTCTGTTCATGGGTGTTTGGGCTATTTCCATATTTTGGCTGGGCTGGAGCGATAGTACAGCAGAGAGGGCATTTGCCTTGCAAGTGGTCAACATGGCTGACCCCCGTTTGATTCCTCCACCCCTCTAGGAGAGCCTGGCAAGCTACCGGGAATATCTCACCCGCACAGCAAAGCCATGACGTACTCTATATGCCAAACACAGTAACAATTGTCACAATGGAGACGTTACTGGGCCCGCTCGAGCAAATCAATGAACAACAGGAGGACAGGGACAGTGAGCAGTAAAAACCAGCATGAGTCACTCATCCCTAAGATTAACTTTTTCTAATTAAAAATATCTGAATTATCACTTTCCACGTTCGTTTTAGTCTCCCTCTTTTCTTTCTCATGGTTGAATATCAAAGGCCACAGTCAAAAATAGCTTTATACAAATTAGGGAAAGAGGTATTTAAGCAAATCACATCAACCATAAAAAGTAAGCTCCAATTCATTAAGAACAAAATGTTTCTGTGGTATATGGAATACTGGATGAGGAAGTGTCTTGTAGGAATATGGAAAGTGCTAGGTCACCCTGACCCCAGTGTTTCGAGAGGACAGAGAAGGAAAGAAATCAAGGGGAAAAAGAAGAGAAGGAAAAGTAATGGGTGAACAGGAATCAGGGTTTCAATTATACCAGCAATATGGGTTAGTGCCATCCTCCAGAGGCCACTGGACAGTCAACTTTGAGCCCACAGTGACGAGACACGCAGGGCCTCACGGGATGGGGGTGGAGCCGACCCTTTCCTCCCCACCCCAATGAAACCCTGAGTCACAGAACACGAACGGCCTCTCTGGCTCCTGAACTAGCTGCTTAATGGCCATCATCCCAGAGATTCAGAAACAAATCTTGGAACCCAGAGGCTTTTGGCAGAAATGCGTCCAGACCCCGCAGTAGGTTACTGTTTCCGGGCCACCCCAGGGGGGAAAGGGTACTGTCCCTCCGCCTGCTCCCTCTAAACGGCTCAGTGGCCACCATTCTCCAGAGGCCACTAGAGAGTCAGGTTTGGGCCCTCAGTGACGAGACACGTGGGGCATCATAGGATAGGGGTGGAGCCGGCCCTTTCCTCCCTGTCCCAAAGAGATGCCAAGTTGCCGCCCATGAATGGCCTTTCTAGCTCCTGATCAAGCTGCTTAACGGCCATGATCCCAGAGATTCTAGAACAAATCTCGGAACCCAGCAGGTTTTGGCTTAAATGCCTCCAGATTAAAGTGTTAAAATTTCGGAATTTCAAAATCATGCAGCCACTACTGCAGTCACGCGACATCATATGTTATTTTTAACCAGCAATAGAAAACAAATTGTCTACTGTTGCCTCTTCAGCAGATCTGAGTGTTGGGGTAAAATCCCCAATAATAATGATGGGTCTGGTGTGAAAATATTGAATGTGATCAAAGTAGAGAGAAAGTAATGTGGAAATCATCTGCCCCACAGGTAGGTGGAGGGCGTTGGATGGGGTATACTGGGGTTTTTGGTGGTGCAGAATGGGCAATGGTGAAAGTATGGGCGTTTCATTGTATGGCTGAGACTTAAACCCGAAAGCTTTGTAACTGCGCTCACGGTGATTGAATAAATAAAATTATAAAAAATGAAAAAAAAAAGTAAGGTGGAGTTCAGGCCCAATTCAATCAGCTAATCAGTGGCTGAATAAATAGCAGTACTCCTACATTAAGAAAATATTTAGTACTTTGTCCTGTTTTTAAGGTCTGGAAATAGAAGTGAAGATTTCCCATCGCTAAACCCACTAATTAAAATATGGTAACTGGCTCTCTTTCTCTGACAAAATACTATGTATAGCACAAAATACTATATATGTCATTTTGGTATTTTCAATCAAAATGCAGTTTAAATAGTTTAACATAAAATAATGTTTTATGACAAATTTTAAAAATCAGCTTTATTACACACAGCCATTTGATGTTACTTACACCTAACATTCAAAAAATGTTAATGAAAATGTTACACCTAACATTTTTTCAGAAAACAAAAAAGAAATTCAGACATATAAATAATGTAATATTCTTACCTCTTCTGCATCAGTACTGTTTAGTTCTTCTACTTTAATTTTATTATAAGTATCCAATATATCAGTACAGCTCTGATCCCTAAGAAATACAATACGTTAAACACATTTCAATAATTAAAAGAAATCACTTTATTAATTTATTCTATAGAAGATGGAACTTCCCAAAACTTCTTACCCAATAAACCGAAGTAAGACATCAGTTACAATTTTGGCTGCTTTAACTATGGGACTATCTGGCTCATTGAAAGTCCTGGCATTATGCTCAATGTAGCGCACCTCCCACATTAATGCTGATATTCTCCTATCAAAAAAATTGTTAGTTTAGGTTAATACATTTGGATTTTATTATATAGGAATAAACAGCATAGAAAACAAGGCACCTAATCATATGTCAAAAGAATTCCTATATGTGTGTATACATACATACACATATACGACTCGGCTGTATGACTATATGTACTAATAAATGTGTATAGTTACAGCATTTGAAGCATATAATATTGAGAACCACTAGATTGCAGACTAGAACTGACTCAAAGCATAATATATAGGTAAATAGTGATCTGACCAAATACAGTATTTTTATAAAATCAAAAGAATATTTCAGTTTTTAGGGGAAGAGAGAAGAGCAAGAAAAAAAAAGAAACTGCACTATTGAAAAGAACAAATTCTTTTTCAAGTTATCTATACCTATCTAGACATATAATTTATACTATTGAGGTAGCATGGTTTATAATAGTGCTAACATTTATGCATTAACTGTACAAAGTTGCTATGTCATGCTTACAACCATGGTGCCTGTTCACTTTCCACACTGTCTCTAGGAAAGAGATTGATTTTTATCTAGTTACTTTTATGGTATATAAAATAAGTGAACTTATTGGTCCTATTTTTAAATATATCCAACTCGCTGTACTAATAACCAGTTCATGGATTATCTGTGATTATGATATAATAAACTCAAAGAGAGGTACCAAAAGGGGTCTAAGTACAGTAGGTAAGAGCTTGCCTTGTTAGTGCCTGACCAAATTCGATCTCAGGCACTCTATATGGTCTCCACCAGGAGTGATACTTGAGCGCAGAGAGCCAGGAGTGAGCCCTGAGCACCACTGCGTATGACTCCAAAAACAAAAACAAAACACCAACAACAAAAAAGGGCAACAAATACGGTCCTCCATATATCTATAATCAGTGTATTTCCAAACAAAACAGGAAAAAACTGACCTGTTTCATTGTCTACACATATTTAGGGAGTGGTAATTAAATCTGTCGCTGTCACTGTCTTCCCGTTGTTCATCGATTTGCTCGAGCGGGCCCAGTAACATTGTGAGACTTGTTACTGTGTTTAGCATATTGAATACGTCCCGGGTAGCTTGCCAGGCTTTGCCGTGCAGGTAAGATACTCTCATAGCTTGCTGGCCTCTCCGAGAGGGGCGGAGGAATCGAACTCAGGTCGGCCATGTTGGCTGCGTGTAAGTCAAACGCCCTACCTGCTGTGCTATTGCTCCAGCCCAATTAAATCCAATTGATTGCTACTTAATTCGCCAATAGTAAATTAAAACATGCTCCAATTCTCTATAGATCCTAATCAAGATAAGCCAATAAACAATTCACACTTAATAAATTAAAGGCTACTAGTTTCATTTTATATCTGATTTACCATGCTAATAATTTTCTTCCTTTCTTCTCCCTCACTACCCTGGAAGAATGAAAACCTAGTAAATAAAAGAAAAGTAGAATTCCAATCTCTTAAAGAAATCTTGGATTAGTAGTTTGAAAGATTATTTACACTAGGAAATCAGAGATCTCAGTGTATCATTATGCAAAAAAAGAAAAGTAAAAGATCTAAAGCTACAAACTTTATAATAATGATAAACTCAAACCTGTAGAAGCGATTTTCAAGTCTGCGCCTGATGGTGTTGAGGTCAGTTGGATAAGCAACTACAGTGCAATATAAGGGATAGGCACTAAGATCCACTGGAACAGCAAATGGGCTGGCAAAATCTACAATATTACCAAGATCAAGAGGAAATTATAAAGATTAACATTTAATGCTTGCTAACAAATAAAAACTCATAATAATATGAAGTGAGGGCAATATTTCCCATTTCTAAAATGATTACATAATCATACAAATATTAGATGGGATCATTGCTTTTATGTTATTTTTTAATTTAGACACAATATCTATGAAGCATGCATGAAACACTGGTACAAATTAGGTAGCAACAGACTAAACTAAAGGAGAGCTTTGTTAAATTTCATTTCTAGATAAATGCCAAGGTTCTTAAATTATATTTTAAAAATGTAACTAGCTAGATATTTTTAAAAATGTAACTAACTATGTGAATAAAATATGTTACTCACCCCATTGTCTTTACCAAGGAACCCAAAGTCAGGCTCACACAATAGCTAGAGAGCCAAAATGTCTCAAGAAAGAAAAACACATCTATATGCCAGCCTTTATTAAAGAATCCCAAAAGTTAAAAAATTGATCAGTCATTACTTTGGCCAAGCATATATAATGGTTAATATTAAAATTAGAATCACTGTATATCTCAACTTAAAAGTACACAGTAAGAAAATGCACCTCTTTTTATAGAACTTAATATTATGATTTTCTTAGCCCACACCCCCACCTTATCAGCATTTTATTCTATTACCATACCCAAAGAAATAAGGTGGTTAATGCCCTGAATGACCCGTTCACATTCCTCATCTCTGGAATGAACCCCCCACTCTCCTTCTTGGGGTTTGTATAGCAAAGCTGTCAGTTCATCCTGGGATACAGGAACTCCAGCACCAACTTCTTCTGGAAAGGCAGCTATGTATAAGATGAAAATATTTTTAAAAATGATTAGTTTCTAATATCATACTAAAGCCATTTACTTCTAGGAAACTTTCAATTCATTTAAAAATGCATATTTACTTCCGTCTGGAATTGGCTCCATATCCCACGGACTCATCTTTTCTCTCTCATTATTGTCCCAGCTATTAAAAAATTAAAAAAATAGAAAATTAATCTTATATGACAAATACTAATATAACTTGTATGACTTCTAGGGGAGTACAATTCTGAAAAGGCAATATAGTTTTCCTTAAAGCATAAATTTTCTTACATAAGGATAATGTCTAACAGAGGATAGCATGAGTCATTTAAGAAAATTAGAGGGTGGTAGGTTTACTCATATTTTTAATTGTTATTTTAAAAACATTCTAATGTTTTTAATGCTGCACAATGGGCATAGTGTTTGTATTATATGTGGCTGACCTGTATTATATATTACGTATCTTGCACTCCATGTGGTTCCCTGAGCCCCACCAAGAATGATCTTGGAGTACAGAGTCAGGGCTCATAAGACCTGAGCACTGCTTGGTGTACTCTAACCTCTCTTAATAAAAATATAAAAATTATAATCAACGACATATGAAGAATAAAAAAGGTATCTGGGGGAAACTTCAATCAGATTTTTATAAGCTACTTTAATAGAACTTCTTTTTGTGAGATAAAATACTTTATCTTAACAGATTAACTATTATGGCACCTCTAACGTTTTGTTATTCCTTTTTATCTGTAATATGGGATTAAAATGTTCACACAGTCTTCACAAAATGATAATTTACTCTATCATTTTCAGAAGCTGCATTCAGGAATCTTAGGGAACTTAAAGATCTAGGACATTGAGAAAAAGCAAGTGCAGGCCAATAGTAAATATAAACATATTTTAGTCATATCTACCTAGGATTTATGATATTAAATAGAAGACAGGTATTAATATTCATTGATATAGTCTATCTGTAACAATTACTTCACGGTCACGGTCACGGTCCTCCTGTTCATCGATTTGCTTGAGCAGGCCCAGTAACATCTCCATTGTCAGACTTGTTACTGTATTTGGCATATTGAATATGTCACGGGTAGCTTTCCAGGCTTTGCCGTGCGGGCGAGATACTCTCGGTAGCTTGCCGGGCTCTCCAAGAGGGGTGGAGGAATCGAACTCGGGTCAGCCATGTTGGCTGCGTGCAAGGCAAACCCCCATCTGCTGTGCTATCGCTCCAGCCCAATAATTACTTAAATAATAAATTATTTTCACTATTCTCCATGAAATTAGGATACACTCAGCTTTATAGTGTCTCTGCCATGTACACAAGAGGTGCATGTTATTATGTTTATAGCATTATCATTGTCATTATTATGTTTATAATAGGCACCTCTTAAAACACAATAAAGCCAGAATACTGTTTAAAATAAGTTTTACTGTTTAAAATAAACATTTACAATATTGTGTTTTATCGCATTTGAAATGCAAAAAAAACCACAATAAATCTTAACAGGTTTGAGTACATGCTGTGCATACTGGAGCCCCAGGTATAAATCCCAGCACTGCATGTTTCTTCAAGCACTCTAAGGAATGACCTCCTGTATTTAGAGCCAGGAGTAATTCCTGAACATCAGTGCATGTAAGCAAAAAAAAGAGAGAGAAAGAAGCCACAATAAAAATGAATTTGAAATATTTGAGAAAATAAATAGAAGCAAAAGGAAGACTAAAAATGTCTTTAGGTCTTGCATTCTTTTAGAATAATGGACTAAGAGATTTATGGCCAAATTACTTCCCTACAGCTACTTTACTCCTTTACAAGTACAGCTATTACAAGAGTAGACAAATCAGATAAAAAGGCATTAGTCCTAATCATATTTGTAGAAACTTCATATGGTATTATAATATTTTATCAGACATAAGACCACAAAAATACTCACTGAACACTATAACACTGGAAAGAGCTATCAGGATACTCTGGCTGAAAAGGCTGCTGACTCTCCACAGTTCCAAACCACCAGGCATCATCTATTATACTTCGGAATCTGTCACCTATAATATTTTTAAGAGATTCTTAAAAGGGGCTCTTGAGAACAATAATTATTGCCATTCTAACTTGCTACTTATTGTTGCATATAGAAGCATCATAATATCTAGCATTATCAGAGGCTTCAATCTGAATTTGACAAAATTATATTTCACTCTCTTCAAGGATTTTGACTTAGAAGTACTAGAATCTTTCTAAAATAAATTATATATGTCATGCCTTCTTAAATAAATGCTAGCACATACAATTTAACTTGAATCATTTACTTGGGATTATAATTGGCTACCCTACTTCTGTACTTTGCAGTTAATTTTGCTTTCAGCTTTTCAAGTACAAAAAAATATTACATAGAATTTCTGACTCTAAATACTAATAATTATAAAACCAAAGCATTGTGAACAAAAATGTTTCCTCCACAGGATTGACAGTTGCAAACATTCACAAATTATTTACTGTGAGCTAGGTAATATTTTTATTGCTTCCTATATATTAATTTAATTATTGTGTATTGATATTATGATAGATTAATGATAGTATTAATGTGAACTAGTTTAACTTCCATTTTCAATATGAAAGTAAGGCACACAGAAGCTAAAAAGTTGCTCAAGACCAAAAACCTATTGGGAGCAAAGGGGGAGAGGGATGAAAGGGAGGAGAGAGTGGAAGAAGAAAGGAATAGAAAGAAGAGAAAGGAAAAGTTGGAAGAAAGGGAGGAAAAGAAAGGGAAGGAGAGAGAAAAGAAGGAAGTACTGCAATCAATAATGATCTAAGAGTCTATGTGCAACACTCTGTTTTAGGAAAATAACTGGAGATGACTTTCTTTTTTAACAAAATTTACATTTTAATACATTAAGTATCTGCAGAAGCTTTAACTGTTAAGTGCCACAATATAGATAAAAATTACCTAAACATAACCAAAAGGAAAATTCAGTTAATTTTCATTATTTGAAAGTTGCATATAGAAATATGATAGACTAGCTTTTTCCTTTTTCAAATTGGAATTCAAAATTTACTTTATTTCAAATTTAATAATAAATGAGAAAACTTTACTTACCAATCTGCCAATTCCTTTCTTTGGCTTCATTATAAAACTGATGTAGTACAAGAAAGTCAATGACATCTGGCATGTCATGATATCTATGCATAAATAACCATATGCAGATAAATAAATGAATATAATAACATGTTAATTATCAAATATCCACAGATATATGCTTATTGTGGAGCGATTACACTAAGTGCAGTAAAACTCTCACAGTTTTCTACAAATTTAGTTTTTTGGGGGGGCGTTTCACACTTGGTGATTCACAGGGGTTATTCCTGGCTCTGCACTCAGGAATTACTCCTGGAGGTGCTCAGGGGTCCACATGGGATGCTGGGAATCAAACCCAGGTCAGCCACGCACAAGGCAAACACCCTACCCGCTGTGCTATCGCTCCAGCCGCATGTTTCCTACAAATTTCTTTGCTTAAATTAAATGCCAAAAAAAAAATTAAATGCCATTTGCTGTGATCTACACAGAAGTAGTCTGTCTATCGTCATATCTTTCCAATAACATAAAGATGTCAGTAGCACTGTAGCACTGTAGCACTGTTGTACCATTGTTCATCGATTTGCTCGAGGGGGCCCAGTAACGTCTCCATAATGAGACTTGTTGTTACTGTGTTTGGCATATCCAATACGTCACAGGTAGCTTGCCAGGCTTTGCCGTGCGGGCGAGATACTCTCGATAGCTTGTCGGGCTCTCCAAAAGGGGCAGAGGAATCAAACCTGGCTCAGCCAGGCTGGCTGCATGCAAGGCAAAAACCCTACTGCTGTGCTATCGCTCCAGCCCAAAGATGGCAGTAAATGTCCTTAATTCTAAACATATTTCTATTAAGAACTTTTTAACAAATTATGAATTAATGGTCATTTCTCTCCTTAGATTTTAAATTTATCTTCAAAATGTGTGGCATTACCTTATCATTAACAAAATAAAAACAAGTGGCATGTTTCAAGCCTATTAACCAGTGAAAATTATTATCTTTTACTTTTTACAAGAATCTTGAAGATATTGAAATTTCAATTTTACAGATGAAAGCATAAATTAAGAGAGACAAGTAATATGTCAATGAGAGGGCACACGCACACAGAGTTTCTCTACAATCAATGTCTTTTGCTTTTGTTTTTGTTTCTGGACCACACTGGGTGTGCTAAGTGCTGACTCCTGACTCCGTACTCATGCATCACTCCTGGCAGTGTTCAGTGGATTATATGCCATGCCAGGGTTCAAACCCAGGTTGGCTGTATGCTAGGTAAACACACAACCCAGTAGACTATGGTTCCAGCACAAGGTGTTACAATCTGTTCATGAAAATTTCAAAACATGGATTTAAACAGACACAGACACACAAATATCTACTCACTTTATAGAAAATGATTCTCCAGTCATTTTTCCTGAAATGGGGTCCAGAAATGCAAGCTTCAAGCAGCATAGTGTAGGTGGCCCAACCTCATATTTGATTCCTACAATCTTAACAAACTCTTGTTCCTATTCAGAAGAATAGCAAGGAATTATTTATTTCAATATAAATAATTATTTAACATGCATATCACCTAGTTGTACTTTGAACAATTCAAATATTACCTGAATACCCACCAAAACGTTGTCTACTCTATTCATTGTTAAAGGAAGCATGACATGACTATTGACCCTTAATAGAATGTTGTAGCTCAGTACAGGGCTTATAAACAAGCAAAAGTAGCAGAATTCCCTTAGGAGTCTTAAAAATCATTTTCTGAAACTCTGTCCTAATGGCATCAAATTTAGTAAGTCTGTGATACAATCAGTCATATGTATTTTTAAAACTCTAAAAGGGGAAGAGATTATTCTGTACCTATCCTTTTCCTTCTGACTGACCACTAAACATGACAACCTTTAGTTTCATCCATGTTACTGAAAGTTGCATGATTTTGTTCTTAGAGCTGCATAGTATTCCACTGTGTATATATGCCACAAATTCTTCATCTATTTGTCTGTAGTTGGGCATTTAGGTTGCTTACATATATTGCCTACAGTACTAATAGTAGAGATGAACATAGGTGTGTATATATGAATTTCTGTGTTTATTTTGTGTATATATGCCAAGAATTGTATAAATGGGCAGTTTTATTATTATTTTTTAATATATCTCCATATTACTTTCCATAAAGACTGAACTAGATGATACTCCCACCAAAAAAGGAGGAGGGTTCTTTTCTGACCACAACCCCATTCCAGACTTTTAAGGTAGTAACAAAAATTCAAAGGCAAAATACTGGGAGAATTGATTCACACAACTGAATGTGGGATGCAAGACATGAAAGGGAGAGGTCTTGAGGTCCTCAGGAAAAGGAGCGGGTACATCGGTGATACATGTGGTGTTAGAAATATGTGCATGAAAAACTATACACAGCATTCAAACCACAGAATCTCAATTAGAAATCCATTAACCCCCCCAAGGTGATTACACAGAATATTATTATATAATTTTGAGTTTCCCTCCCCACCTTATTATCTAGGTCTTACTTTGCAGAACCTGGCAGGCTACCAAATGTATCCTGCCCACACGGCAGAGTCTGGCAAACTCCCCATGGCGTACTCAATATGCCAAAAACCAGTAACAATGATGGGTCTCATTCTCCTGACCCTGAAAGAGCCACGAATGTGGCACTTTTTTAAAATGTCAGGGCTAGGACAAAGGAGACGTTGCCAGGGCCTGCTTGAGGCAATCGATGACCAACAGGATGACAGTGATAGAGTGATACAGTGATAGTTAATAGATAACAAAATTGAGCCTCATTGGGTACAGTAATTTGTTTTGAGTTATATGTTATCTGGGTTCAGGATTGAAAATTCAGATCTTGTTCCAAATCTTGGATTGTCATACCACACATATAAGTTGTCTGCCACATTTTCTCAGAACCACATACATTGTTTAAAATGGGAAATTAAATATTTACCATAAAATTCACTGTCCATATGTGTGAGAATTTAATTCTGAACTTTCAATTCTATTTCATTGATCTGAATTATCTATTTGACTTCAATACTATAATATTTTGACTACTACTAATTACTTCATAGCATAGTTTGAACTCAGGTCTTGTGATGCCTTCAATATTTTTTCTGGGTTTGGGAGCACATCTGGTAGTGCTTAAGGATCACTCCTGACAGGGATCAGGGGACCATATGATTCCAGGGATTAAACCCCATGGTGCCAGGGATTAAACCTCGGTAAGTTGCATTGAAGGTAAATGCCTTATCCACTGTACTATTACTCCAGTCCCCACTTTTCTTCCAGAATTCTTGTAGTTTTGGGGGTATAGGGTACTTCCATATTCTCATGTGAACTTCAGTTATGTATTTTCTATTGTCCTGATGTTGTCAGGATTTGGGGGGGGGGGTTGTTTTGAGTCTACATAATGTTTGTACAGATTGATAACTTTTACAGTATTATTCCTTCCAGTCATTGAATATCTTTCCATTTTCTTTTGTCTACTACCATTTCTATTAACACTGAGTGATTCCTGAGCACAGAGCCAGTAATAAACCTTGAGCATCAGCAGATGTGGCCCACCTCCCCCAACAAAGAAAACCAAATGAAGCAATTGAGAGATTGACTTCAATGTAAATTTCAATATATAACACTTTCAACTCTTTTGTTAAGTTTATCCCTAAGTAGTTAATTCTTTTAGATCAAACTACAAATGATATTTTAAAAACACTTTTCTTTCATTGCCTGAAAGGAATTATATAAGGAATACATTTTAATATTGATTTTACAGCGATAGCACAGCGGTAGGGCGTTCGCCTTACAAGCGGCCACCATGGCCGACCCGAGTTCGATTCCTCCGCCCCTCTCGGAGAGCCCGGCAAGCTACCGAGAGTATTCGATATGCCAGACACAGTAACAACAAAGTCTCCAATGGAGACGTTACTGGGCCCGCTCGAGCAAATCGACGATCAACGGGAGGGCCTTTACCTTTACTGATTTCAATAGCTATTTTTTTTCTTTTTGGGTCACACTCAGCGATGCTCAGGGGTTACACATGGCTCTGCACTCAGGAATTACTCCTGGTGCTGCTTGGGGGATGATAATGGGATATTGGGAATCGAATACAGGTCAGCTGCATGCAAGGCAAATGCCCTATCAGCTGTGCTATCGCTCCAGCCCCTCAGTAGCTATTTTTTGGTGAAGTATTATATGTACAATATTTTTATGTAGAATATGTCCTCTGAAAATAGTTTTACTTCACTTCCAATATGGATCCCTCTTACTCTTTTTTACTTTGCCTAATTTAAGTGGCTAAGATTTATGATATTATGTTTAATTATAGTGCTGACATCAGTGAACAGCATAATCTTATGTATAATTTTAGAGGAAAGGTATTTAAATTTTTTTACCATTGAGTATAACATAGCAATGTGTCTGTTGCATATAGTCTAAACAATGTTGAGATAATTTATGATAAAGTGCAAAGAACATAAAATTAAAAAGAAAAGCCTCTTCAACTGGATCACTCTCTCACATTATAAACAAAGGTAACTGAAAACGGATTAAAGAATTGTATGTTAGGATCCAGAGATAGTTCAGGGATAAAGGAAATGTCTTATATGTGCTGACCCCAATTCAATTCCCAGCACAATATGGTCCCCTCAGAACTGACAAGATGGTTTGGGTAATCTCCAATACTATTCAACAGGGTCCAGCAGCACCACATCCTCAGACACGTAAGGTGTGGCCCAGCTGGCTGAGAATCACTGGGAAGGGAGTCTGGGCCTCCAGAACACTGCTTTGAAGATTCTCCAAATTAAAAAATAACATGTATGTTTGACACAAAACCATACAATACACTGAAGAAGACACAGCCCAAACACTACATGATATTGTCTTCCATGATGTATGTATTAGAGGAGTAAAATCCAACAAAAGAATAAAAGTTACAAAAAATAAGGTTACATCAAAAAAAGATAGTGTTATATCAAGCAAAAAATCTTCTGGCACAATGAAATAAAATGTCAAAATCAAAAAAAAATCCTATTGAGTAAGGAAATATTCACATGCCAGACATGTGACAGAACACATAAAACATACAACCCTGTAAAAAATAGAAAGACTTCATCTTTTCTAACAGCTGCATAGTACTCCATTGTGTAGATGTATGCTGAGAGTAGACTATAGAACAAACATGACTGCCACTCAATGCCTCTTTTAAAAACCACAGCACCCAAAAGGAGAGAGAGTACAAAAGGGAATGCCCTGCCACAGGGGTGGGGTGGGATGGGGGAGTGATACTAGGATTATTGCTGGTGGAGAATGGGCACTGGTGGAGGGTTGGGTACACGATCATTGTATAATTGAAACCCAATCACAAAAATTTGTAAGTCTACAACTGTACCTCATGGTGTTTCACTAATAAATTTTTTTTTAAAATGGGAAGATCAAACAGCCATCCCTCCACCAGTGCCCATTTTCCACCACCATGGGTCCCAGTATCCCTCCCTCCCCCCATCCCCTCGTCCCACCCTGCCTCTGTGGCAGGGTATTCCCTTTTGTTCTATCTCTCCTTTTGGGTGTTGTGGTTTGCAAAAGAGGCATCTACAACTGTACCTCATGGTACTAACAAAATTTTTTAAAAAAATGTAAATGATGGAGAATGGGCACTGGTGGAGGGATGGGTAATGGATCATTGTATAACTGAAACCCAAGCACAAAAATTTGTAAGTCTACAACTGTACCTCATGGTGTTTCACTAATAAAAATTTTAAAATATTTGACAACAGAAAAAAAATGGGAAGAGTTGTACTAATAGTTAACCAAAATAAAGGAGCACATAAATGTCTATTAACTCATTAATAAAATATAACTATAAAGAACAGTATAATCTTACACTTAGGAAAAGTGACAACATCAAAAAGATCATAAAGAATAAGAATTGGTTAGAGATATGGAGGGAAAAGCAAATATGGAGGAAAAAGGAACCCTCATATACTGCTGGCAGGAATGTAAGCTGGTTCAGTCTTATGAACTATATAAAGATTCCTTGAAACATTAAAAGTACTCGGCTGGAGAGATAGTACAGCTGATAGGGTGTTGTAAGTTGCCATGTAAGTAGCCAACCTGGGTTCAATCCCTAGGATCCCATATGTTCCCCTGAGCATCGCCAGGAGTAATTTCTGAGTGTAGAGCCAGGAGTAACCACTGAGCATCACCAGGTGTGACCCAAAAAGTAAAAAAAAATGAACATTAAAAAGGATCCAGTGTATGATCCAGCTATTTCACTCTTAGGTATCTATACAAAGAACAAAAAATCACTCATTTGAAAAGATATAATGCATACCTATTTTCATTGCAGTTCTGTTAACAACAGCTAAGATACAGAAATAAACTCAGTATTCCAAAGTAAAGATGAATGAAAGAAATTTGATATACATACTTGATGGGATGTTAGTTATGTAAAAACTGAAATGTTAACTTTTGCTATAATATGAATAAGAATTGAGGAATCCACGTTAAGCAAAATAAGCCAGAAGGTGGTAGACAAATATTGAGTACTTTCAGCCATATGTGGGAAATAGTGAAACAAAGCAACAAACAACAAAATCAAAGGAAAACCAACCCAAGGGTATAAACAGCTTAACTGTGGTTAGCAGAAGAATGGATTGAAAGGTGGTGAGAATGGATTGAAGGTAAGAAAGGTAAACTGGTGGAAGGAGATTAATGATTGGTCTTTGTAGTGGTGTTATATACTTTGAGATGATATACTTTTAGTGGCATGATATACTTTGAAGAGGCGTGAAACTATATCCCTAAAACACATACAGTTGTATAAGCAAATGTTAACTTAATCTTTAAAAGAAGGGAAATAAATGTTTTATTCATTTCCTTGATGTCAGTAAAGAAATCAACTTTCACTTGATATCTCAGAGGATATGATTACATAAAGCTCCCCTCATAGAGTACTTTGACCTCTTATAATCTATACATTTCCTTCTACTGCCTAATCATTGTATTAATAAACACTCATTGTCCCTTATATTCTTCTTGCAAACACCATGTAACAACCATTCATTTACAAAAGATTGCCCTTTAGTCTCTTGTTATGTAAAAAAAAAGGACAAAACATACTGAAACCTAGTTAGAAATGATGGTATATATTTCAAATATACAGCTTATGAATCTGGCAAACTTACCCTGAGATCCATTTTGTTCCACGGCTGTTTTTGTAAATTAACACTGTATATTTTTGACTTCCTTACAGCTCTCACATAAGCCTCATGTCCTTGCCTAAAATAGATAAGCTAAAACAAAGAAAACGAGACATTAAATATCAACAGCCTATTTAAATTTTTTTCTGTATCTTTATGTATACTACTACAAACTCTTTGTTTATAACAAATTACAATTTTGAAAAAAATGTACAACAAATGTACTTTTCATCATCAAATGTTGATTCAGTCCTTTATTTATGTAAGCCTATGCTAAATACGAGCAAAATATAAACATGGCATACAATCCTTTTCTCCATAGTAGCTACTTCAGACTGCAGAAGAAACAGAGACTAATAACAAATGTATCAAAACCAGTCATTTTTACTGTACTTTATTTCAAATTGTAGTTGGCATTCTACATATTAACATTTTAATAATCACCTTACACAGTTCCTATGTATTTATCTATTTAAATGTATACATGCATACATGTATATATAGCTTCAACTATATATAGAGAGATGCATATATATGTATATTTCTAATGACAGGCTAGTAAGTAATTTTCAGATAAATGAAAAGTTTTGCAAGAAATAATCAGAAATTCTAACATATTAGAAGAAATATGAATTCAAGCTTGGTAAGCCCCAACAGTGTCGTGAGACAGCATGAACTACTATACTGCTTTATTTAAAAATGGTTCTTTGCCACAGTCATTTTAAAGTGGAGGGCCTGGAAAAGAGTTCAAATGAATTCCGAATTTGATCTCTGGTACCACATGGAACTTGACGCATCACTAGGGGTGGCCACGTGGTTATGGGTTATGATCATTATGATCCATCACTGGGTGAATCACCAACGGAATAGCTCTGATGAGCCCAGCACTGTTGGGCCCAAGGAACACCACATAGGCTGGCCCTAAACTTGAATTTTAACGCCCAAACATGGTGGACAGAACAATGACATAAATAGTCCCAGTGTTTTAAGCTGTAGGGAGGTCCCCGGGAAAAATGGAATAATTATAATTTTTAAAGTAGTGATCGAGATAAAGAGGAAAAATTATCACAAAAATATGATGTGAGATTTTAGAAATACACTGAGATATTCTACTAGTTGACATTTGTCTAAGTAAGAATTTCTTATAGCTAAAATGACCAGAACAAAAATTAAAATATTTAAATGTTAGTATAAAACATAATGTTGGGGGAAAATTCAATACTTCATTTAATCGATATTGACTACACATATAGGCCCAAAATATTAGGTGCTGTCCTAACATCAAAGAAGTATTTTCCCTCAGGATATGAAGAGACACCCTTCATATTTAGAGTGTTTTGCATATAATACAAGAAAAATAATTTAGATGGAAAAAACAGGTGGGAGACAAATGGAAAGTAGAGATGACATTCTTGGAGTAATTGGCATTTGAGTTAAACCTTGCAGAATAACATTTTGAGAGAAAATTATGTATAGGTAGACATAGAAGGAAAAAACAGACTTTCATACTTAAAACTGTCAGTTATGAATTTTGAATTATAATAAAAATGTACATTTGGAGGACCAGAGAGATTGTGCAGTGGGTAAGCCACTTCCCTTGCACACAGCCAACCTAGGAATATTCCCTAACTCACTATATGGTCCCCCAAGCCACCAGGACTGAACTCTGGAGTGGAGAGCTAGGAGGAATCTCTGAGCACAGGAAAGTGTGATCCAAAAAGAATAACCAAAAAGTATATATCTCCCTTTATGTGTTCTTGAAAACGTTCTTTTAATTAATTTAGTCCACTGCCGGACTCATTTTTATACCTTCTCCAGTAATTGCTTTATATTCATCTTGGCACATATAAATATATGCTAAATATAGCAAAATAGATGGGAAGTAATTCCATCAGCATAAAAATATCAAGGTATTTAAAAGCAGAAGATTCTCACCAGATCATAGAGTAAACAGATCAATTCAATTTTTTTTCTGTAAATACTTCTAAGGTTAATTCAGCACTACTTCTTTTAAACCTCCATAAGAGAGAAAATATAGGGAATCATGGTTTTGTACAGAGCTTCAAACCAAAAATCCTTTATGTTTTTTGTTACACAATATTCAGTAGAACATGTTCTACTAATGGCATCATACAAATAAACATTGCTGAAAACTTCAATGCCTAGAATAACAAACTTATAAAATATTTTGTTACTATCAAATGACAATCAGGAAGTAATATCTTAGTCATAGGGTTATCCAGTAGCTATTTCTGGTGTGAATTGTAACAGGCAGAGCTCTGGGGCAAAAATATATACTAAGCAATTATAGAAATCTTTGGGGAATTTTTTTTATTTGTCCTAATACTTTTAGAGTCACTGCAAGATTATACTCCCTTCTTTTACTGTAATGACAATATTACCATAGTTTTAAATAAAAAACTACACGCACACATTTAATAACTCAAAAATGAATGTTTAATCAATATATGTGACTATAGAAACCAACTACTAAAATATTTTAATTTATTGGAACAATAAGGAAACAAACATTACGCTTTTTTACCAGATAGAATTATAATCAATTTTTGAATGATAAATCATAAATATAACTATGCTATTCAATTACAGGGTCAGTAGCAGTAAATTATTATTTGTATTATTATCATTATTATTTATCCTAATATTGAAAAGGAATAATTATTACATATTACATTTTCTATTATGCAGAACACAAGCTTTTGTTTGAAAAATATTATCAGACTAATGTGAAGATTCAAAATATAGCTCAATTATTCATTTTATTTTTTGTCGGTAGGATACCATGAAACATAAGTCAACCACTAAACCTCTATGTTAACTGAGTATTAACTGTACCATGACATACAAAGGATACAAAATTAAAAATATTCAATTACTGTCCACAAGAAATATAAAATTTAGCAGAGCAGTTAAGAGTAAAGATAGTTTACTTATAACTATAATATAATAGAGAATAAAACTGTCTTAAAACTTAATAAAGAGAATGCTGCTCAGATTCTAAAATTAAACATCTGTGACGGGTAAAATGTACCTCATCTCCCATTTGTGGGACAAATGGGGAACGGCGTGGTATGGTATCCAAGATCCACTGAGGGGCAAACCATTCTTCATTGGCCTCACCTGCTATAGAAACCAGTCCTCCTCTCTAAAATACAGTTCAAAAATACATAAACCATAAATACATGTGCAATAGCATGACAGATAACAGGTGGAGAATATTAAAAGATATAATAAAATCTGAAATATGCACATTTAAAATAATTTACTTTATCAATAATTATATATCAATTTTTGTACTAATGAAATATCAATTAAGTAACATGCTGCTTAATTTTACTGATAAATAATAATGGCATATACTATGTAAATAATAAATAATAATACATTTTATTTTTTGTCGGTAGGATACCATGTAAATTCAAATACAAAAAAATCAATATATCTCTTGCTAATAAAAAAGTAATGATCTAAAGGATAAAATAAAATTCAGTAGAAACCAATGACAGAGAAAATTAAGTCAACAATGAAAAGTATCAGGAGTTGGTTTTTGAAAGAGAAAATAAGATAGACAAACCCTTAAATAGACTAAGAAATGATGAGAAAAACACAAATAAATAGATGACAGTGGAGCAATCACAACAGATCTGTCAGAATTTTTTTTTAAATTCTGAGAGGTTACTAAGAACAACTTTAAGCCAGCAAGTTCAACAAGCTAAAATAAATGAATTCTTAGGATCATACAATATCCAAAGGTTCAATGAAGAGTAAACAGAAAACCTGATTAGATCAACCCTCTGTGAAGAAATGAAAAGACTAATTAAAAATATCCCCAAGAACAGGGCCTGCAGTGACGAAACTTGTTGGGCCTCACAGGATGGGGGTGGAACCGGTCCTGGTCTCCCCGTCCCAACGAGGCCCCAAGTCATTGCCCACGAACGGCTTCTCTGGCTCCTGATCAAGCTGCTCAACAGCCATGATCCCAGAGACTCAGGAGCAAATCTCGAAACCCAGTGGCTTTTGGCAGAAATCCCTCCAGACTTAAGTGTTAAAATTTTGGAATTTCAAAATCACATGGCCCTACTGCAGCCACGTGACATATGTTATTCATAACCAGAAATAGAACACAAATTGTCTACTGTTGCCTTTTCAGCAGATCTGAGTGTTGGGGTAAAATCTCAAATAATAATGGTGGGTCTGGTGTCAAAATATTGAATGTGATCAAAGTAGAGTAAGGTAAAGGTAAAGGCCCTCCCGTTGATCGTCGATTTGCTCGAGCGGGCCCAGTAACGTCTCCATTGGAGACTTTGTTGTTACTGTGTCTGGCATATTGAATACTCTCGGTAGCTTGCCGGGCTCTCCGAGAGGGGCGGAGGAATCGAACTCGGGTCGGCCATGTTGGCCGCGTGTAAGGCGAACGCCCTACCCGCTGTGCTATCGCTCCAGCCCCAAAGTTGGAGAATGGGCACTAGTGAAGGTATGGGTGTTTCATTGTATGACCGAGACTTAAATCCAAAAGCTTTGTAACTGCTCTCATGGTGATTGAATAAATAAAATTATAAAAAATGAAAAAAAAAGTAAGGTGGAGTTCATGCCCAATTCAATCAGCTAATCAGTGGCTGAATAAATAGCAGTACTCCTACAGAAAAAAAATCCCCAATAACAAAAGGCCAGAGACAGATGGACTCACTGGTGAGTTCTACCCAAACTTCAGAGAAATTTTATTTATTTATTTATTTTATTAGTGAAACACCATGAGGTACAGTTGTAGACTTACAGATTTTTGTGCTTGGGTTTCAGTTATACAATTGTTGAGTACCTACACCTCTACTGCTCCAGGAATCCGTCCCACCCCCATATCCCACCCCACCCCTGTGGCAGGGCATTCCCATTTGTTCTCTCTCTCCTTTTGGGTGCTGTGGTTTGCAAAAGAGGCATTGAGTGGCAATCATGTTTGGTCTATAGTCTATTTTCAGCATGCATCTCACTTCAGAGAAATTTTAGTGCCATATTCTTCAAGTTCCTCTAAAATATTGAGGAAACAGGAATCCTAGTTAAGAGATTCTATGAAGCCAATATCACACTGATAATCAAAATATAAAGACTCCCAAATTCCTATAAATGACAAATGAATTGCAGGTTAGTTCTGCAACCAACAAATTGGTTGCAGGGTACAAAATAAACACACATACAAACACAAATCTGTGGTTTTCTGTACTCAAATAGTCACATAGAAGATATGAAAAAGACGATCCCCTCCAAAATAGTGCCCCAACCATAAAAAAGCTAGAAATCAACCAACCAGGAAAGTAAAAGATTTATACAGTGAAAAGTATAAATCACTGCCGAGAGAAATAGAAGAGGATATCAGTAAATGAAAAAATATCCCCTTTTCACCTGTTCATAAATTGGAAGAATCAACATTGTTAAAGTGACCGATCTACCAAAAATACTATACAGACTCAATGCAAAATCTATTAATATTCCAATTTTTTAAAATACATGGACGGAGTCATAAAATATCCCAAATAGCCAAAGAAATCCTTAAAGACATAAATATGGGAGGCACTGAATTTTGCAACTTGGAACTATACTGCAAAGCTATATAAATCAAAACTGCATGGTTCTGGAATGAAGATGGACCTACAGAACAGAATTGAGAGCTCTGAGCTAATGCTCCAGATTTAAGTCCAGCCATTCTATGAAGCAGGAGCTAAATACATGAATTGGAGAAAAATAAAATATCTTCAACTTATGGTGCTGTGAAAACTTGATGCCCCATGTGAAAAAATGAAGTTAGAACAATACTTCACACCACTTATAGAAGTAAACTTAAAGTATATTAAAGATATAAAGATTATAACAGAGTCCATAAAATACATTAAAGAAAACATCGGAAGTATTGACAATGGGATAATCCTGGAGAATGACTGCAGATGAATCTTCAATGAGATGATCTTATTAATAAAGACAACAAAAACAAAATAAATAAATAAATAAATGGGGTTATATTAAATTAAAAAGATTTTGCATGGGGTCGAAGTGACAGTCCAGTGGGTAGGTTATTTGCTTTGCATGACGCTGACCCAGGTTCAATCACCAGCATCCCAATTGGTCTCCTGATCACCTCCCGGAGTAATTCCTAAGTGCAGAGCCAAGAATAAGTTCTGAGCATCGCTAGATATGGTCCACAAACAAACAAACAAACAAACAAAAGAGAAACTCAAAGGCACCCTATTGATTGGGAGAAAACATTTGAACAGAATACATCAGATAAAAAGTTGATATCTAAGATCTATAAAGCACTCATAAAAATCAACAAGAAGAAATACAATACTCCTACTTTTAAAAAAATAAGAAGAAATCCAATGACTTCCTCCACAAGAGTTAGGAGATGATGAGCAGACACTTTCCCAAAGAAGACATACAGATAGCCAACAGTCATATAAAAAACTGCTCATCATCATTCAAAATAACAATGGGATATCATCCCATTGCCTGTGAGAACGGCACATATAAAATATTCTGGACAATTAGTTTTGGCAAGGTTGGGGTGAGAAAGGAACCCTCATCCATTGTTGGTGTGACTGTATTCTTGTTCAGACTCTATGAAAAAAAATGGAGATCTAAAAATTGGAATAGAACTACCATACAACTCAGCAATACCATTTCTTTGAATCTACCCTAAAACAAAAAACCATTCATTTATAAGGATGTATGCACACTAATGGTCATCATTGCACTTAGTAAAAAAGCCAAGATAGGAAACAACCTAAATGTCAAACAATCAAGAAATGGGGCATATATGCACAATGGAACACTAAGAACAAAATCATGTCACTTACAGCATCATGGCTGGAACTAAAGGATATCATGCTGAGTGAAGTCAATCAGAAAAAAAGGACAGCTACAGAATGATCCTTTGCAAATATGGGACTTAGATACACAACAAGGTAGCAACAAAATCTAAAGGCAATGAATGGGAGAAATAATCCATACAATTGAATTTTTGGGGGAGTGAGAGGAAGGGGCATTGGAATCCTCAGGGGACGGTGATGGGTACACTGATGATGGGTATGGTATTGGAATTATGTGAAATAAAAACCATTCTTAACAATATTATAATATTGTTATAACCACAGACTCTCAAGTTTTTACAAAGATAATTCTATAAAATCAACATGCTACTTATGTAAGTATCACAACCATTTTACATTTTTAATGAATACTTAAAGAACTATATGAAAAAATTATATTATCCATGTTAAATTAATGTGAGAAAAAGAAACCATCACTGGGAAGACACAAAACCTATGAGGAAATGGAAGAAGCCCTCTATATAATTTATCACACATTCCCATGTTACAAGTAAAAATCGTATACAAATTAATGACTGAGGTGACAAGCATAACACTTTTATAGTATAGCTTATCTTTAAAAAGGCTACTTTTAACAACTGCCAATATATCTTAATACAATAAACCTGAGTCGGCTGCGTGCAAGGCAAATGCCTTAGCCACTGTGCTATTGCTACATTCTAAGGGTAAATTGGAAAAAAAAACAAGATTGATTTTATCAGTGCCAGCATACCCCCACAGAAATCCTGGCAACTAAAAGGGAGGAAATTGAAACAGTTCAAATAACAGAGAAATAAACTGTACTCTTTTAGTGTGCATCAGGTCAGTACTTAGATAATCAGGAATGTAAAGTTCCACTGTTGCACAGACAAACCATAAGCACAATGGGAAATCCAAAGATTTCAGATGTACTGGTAAAAAGAGACAGAAGGCCATGTAAATTTTCGAGCTCTGCATTACTCTTAAATCTGAATGAGGAATATTTCGAATCAAAACTCCATGTGATGACAATGGAAACTAAGCAAACCCTACTATTTGTAGGATGAGTGGTGGGCAAATCATTTCTCCCAGACTGTGGGCTGTCTTTGTATTCCTGTCCTCATTTCCTTTGTACTGTAGAAGCTTCTTCTTTTTTTTTCTTTTTGGTAACCCCATCTATGGCCAAGATTCAGAGACTATAAAACAAAGTTCCCAAAGGACAATAACGCAGAGTCTCCTGCCCCCACGGCTGGCTGTCCTCATCATGGACCCTTGGAGAGGGGTGGGTTGAGTTTCCCTCTCCGCCTTGTGCAGAGCCCCGGCAGCTGAAGACCTCTAGGATCCAGCCACAGCCATGTTGAGACCACTCTCCACATGCTAGGAAGATCCTCAAGCATGAAGGAACCGGCAGAGGAACCCAGGTTTGCGAGACCCGGGGCTGAGATCTCCAAGTCTGCTTGGATTGGGACTGGGCCTCCTCCACTCAGATCCCCCATCTTCCAGTAGCTGGATAGTTACACCCACCAACTGCTGTGTAAACCCATCAACGGCCAAGATCCAGAGACTATAAAACAAAGCTCCTAGAAGCGTGTGGCCACATTTGCGGCCATGGGACCTCTTATTGTCAAGTTATCACTCGCAGAGAACCCAGCAGGATACCCAGAGTATCTTGCCTGCATATATTCCCAACTGGAAACACCTGTAAAGGTGATTAGAGGCTGCCCCAAAAGCCTCCATCCCTCTTGGAGAGCCCGGCAAGCTACTGAGAGTATCCTGCAGGCAAGCTACCTATGGCATACTCGATATGCTAAAAACAGTAACAATGATGGTCCTCATTCCCCTGACCCTGAAAGAGTCCCCAATATGCCATTGGGGTACACTAGCATGTGACAGGGACAAATGGAGCCCAATCGAGCAAACTGATAAACAACGGGGTGATAGTGATTGCTTTTTGGGTCACAACAAGCATTGCGCAGGGGTTACTCCTGGCTCATGTACTCAGGAATTACTCCTGGTGGTGCTCGGGGGACCATATAGGATGCTGGGAATAGAACCCGGGTCGGCTGTGTGCAAGGCAAATGCCATACCCACTGTGCTATCACTCTTGGTTGCCCATTCTTGGCACTTCTACTCAATGTAGAGCAGGAACTACTTACTATAGCAATTAGGCAAGAAACAGATATTAAAGGGCTTCCAGATAGGAAAGAAAGATTTTAAGCTTTCATTGTTTGAAAATGACATGATATTATCCTTGGAAAACCTAAAGACTCTACACAAAAGCTACACTAAAGCTCCTAGAAAAAATAGCTTTAGTATACTAAAGTAGCAGGCTACAAAGTTAACATACAAACGTTCATGGATTTCTTATATGCAAATAATGAAATATAGAGATATTAAAAAACAATCCCATTCACGATTGTGCCTTAGAAAATCAAGTACTTAGGAATCCGTTTAATTAAAAAGGTAAAAGACCTATACAAAGAAAACACACCTAAATTTACAGAATAAGCACAGACTCAGAATGCCTGTCAAGGAGGCAGACTCAGGGGTGGGAGGAAATCTGGTGGTTACATTTGGTGATGGAAGTTGATACTAGATGTGGGATTGGTGTTGCAGCACTGTAAATCAGAAAACTGGCTGAGAGTAACTATGTAAATCGTGTTGCCTTAATATCTAATAAATAATCTAAATATTCATTTTAAACAATTTTACTTTATTTTAGATAGTTATTTCAAGAGAAAAATTAAATATTTCTATTAAAGCATCAAAATTAACAACAAAACTCAAAAAACAATTTTTAAAAAAACCTGTAAACTTACATACCTTCTTTTTAGTCGGTTTAGATTTCCTTTGCCGTTCCTCTAGTGACTTCAAATTCTCATCTTCAGAGGTGCTGCATTTCCGTGTTGTCTGTCTGGTTTGCCGTTTTGGCGGTTGCAAATTTATTCCAGCATCTGCTGTCCAATCGGAATACTCACTTGAGGAATCACTGAAAATAAATAAAACATGAATATACAAGTTTAGGAAAGCAATAATTTTGGCACCTAACTGAAAGAAAGTAATTTATTTGGGGTGGGAGAGACAGCACAGTGGGCAAAGCCCTTGCCTTGCATGAAGCTGACTCAAGTTTGATCCTCCACAACCCATATGGTCCCCTGAGCCTGCCAGGAGTGATACCTGAGAGTAAAGCTAGAAGAAACCCTGAAAACAACCAGGTGTAGCACTAAATTTTGATCACTTGATGACTTGACTTCCCGTTAATCGGCGATTTGCTCGAGCGGGCGCCAGTAACGTCTCCATTTGTCCCTGTTGCATGCTAGTGTAGCCCAATGGCGTCTGTTCGCTCTAGGAACACAAAGAGCCTCAAACCGATCGTTCATGATCTTGATGAAGAAGTCTGACCATCTGGTAGACGGGCGGCCACGCGGTCTTTTGACATCCCGTGGAGTCCAGTCGGTAACAGCTCTAGTCCAGCAGTCATCTTTAAATCTCATTACGTGACCAGCCCATCTGATTTTTGACACCTTGGAAAATGAGACAGTGTCCCTGATTCTTGATCGTCAAAAGAGGTCAGAACTCCGGATTCTCTCTCTCATTTGAGTGAAACGTGATATTCCAAGCTGGGCTCTTTCAATTTCTCTTTGGGAGACCCGAATAGCATTCTCATCCTGTTTGCATAGGGCCCAGGTCTCTGAGGCGTATGTTAATGCAGGAAGAACAGTAGAATCAAAGAGATGTGCCTGGAGCCGGAGGTTTTTCATCCTCTTAGCTATTTCTTAGACGCTCTTGAAGGCGTTCCAAGCCGCTCTCTTCCTCCTGCACAGCTCGGGTGCCAGGTCATTTGTCATGTTGACTTCTCGACCTAGGTACACATAGCTGTTGCATTCAGAGATGGTCGTTTCATTGAGAGCGAATGGGGCGTCAGGAACGAGGCTGTTTTTCATAAACATTGTCTTTTTAAGATTCAGCTGTACTAAATTTTTAAATGTAATTAAACATTCTAAGTGATATTTTAAATTTTCTTCCAGTCTAAGAAAAAATTCAGCATAGAATTTTGATCATATTTATTTAGTAAAATGATTCTGGATGGACTGGAGCAATAGCACAGCAGGTAGGGCGTTTGCCTTGCAAGCGTCCAACATGGCCAACCCGAGTTTGATTCCTCCGCCCCTCTCAGAGAGCCCGGCAACCTACCGAGAGTATCTCGCCCGCACGGCAAAGCCTGGCAAGCTAGCCGTGATGTACCTGATATGCCAAATACAGTAACAATTGTCACAATGGAGATGTTACTGGGACTGCTCAAGCAAATGGATGAACAACTGGAGGGCAGTGACAGTGATTCTGGATAAAAAAAATATACTGCTTTGTCCTCTTTATCAGGTCTTAAAATGCACAATTCATATCCAAATCATTGTTTCTTAGCTGTAGACATGGTTAAATGTGCTGTTTTAGATGTGAAAATAAATTTAGCCTACTAAAATGTAGAATCTTGAGTTTACAAAGGCACTTATTTTACAGATGAGGAACTGAAGTTCACAATGACATGCGAAAAATGTATTATTGGCAGAATCACGATGAAACAAATGGTTTCTTGGCTTCCCATTTTGTACTCTATTATAAAATATATTTTCAATTCTGGTTTTATCAAATTTCTATAAGAACGCAATTTCATATTAAAATTCAAATTATTCTGACCAAATCAAAACCTTTAGGGGCTGCAGTGATATTGCATAGCAGGTAGGGAATTTGCCTTGCACATGGCCAACCTGGGTTCGATTCCTGGCATCCCATATGGTCCCCAGAGCACCGACAGGAATAATTCCTGAGTGCAGAGCCAGGACTTAAACCCTGAGTATCGCCAGGTGTGACTCAAAAAGCAAAACAAAAAGATTGAAAAAAAACCAAAACCATTAAAATCACTTGGAGGTGGACCTGAGCGGTACAGTGAGCAGGGCACTGGCCTTGAATGAGGCAGAACTGGGTTTAATCACTGGCATCCCTTTGATGCCCTAAGCCCTGCTACAAGAGATCCATGAGCACAGAGCCAGAAACAAGTCCTGAGCACCACCAGGTATGGGACAAAAACAAATAAAATCACCTAGAAGAACTTTCGCTTTGCCATTCAATAACAGGATCCTCTACAGAAGCATCACTTGTGCCCATTGTTTCATCCTCCTGCAACAAAAGCCAACAATTAAAATAGTTATTATGAATGAATGTATTGTTAATTAGCATAAACTATCATCTTCTTATATTATTCTGTATCTTCAAAACATCTACGTAAATTGGCTATAGTCATTTTACTTAAATATATGTAACTCACAAATGAGTCCAATAAGTATTTAAAAATTCTAGTTCCTTATTAATAAAATAACTTTTATTATTTCAGAAACTAAAACAAGACTTTCAAAAATACCAAATATGCAAGCTACTGAGCGTATTTCACCCACACGGCAGAGCCTGGCAAGCTACCCATGACATATTCGATATGCCAAACACAGTAACAACAAGTCTCACAATGGAGACATTACTGGGCCCGCTCGAGCAAATCGTTGAACAACAGGAGGACAGTACCTCTTAAATATAAAAAGGATTGCAAGAAGATACCTAAATGAATTCAATCTAGTGTTCAAATCTGCCTATACACCTTAATAAATGAATAAATAATATGATAAAATATTAAAATAATTTTATTTATAAAGTGAAGTTTAAAAGAAAATGTAAATTGATGATACAAACTGAAAATAAATATTAGCAAATATCTTACTTCTGAGGAGCTGTCTAAATCATCCTGTACACCTGAATTTTGACTTGATGTTTGTGAATTATGCTCTATATTGGAGCGTGTTTGATAAGTATGCTGGCGTTTACGCTGTGTCCTTCGTAAAGACCGCCCATAGCTAGGCTGGAGATCATTCTATGAAAGAGAAGGAAAATAGATTTTAGAAAGACAAAGATTCAGTGAACACACAAAGGAATACACCTATACATAAAATCAATTGAACTGGACTGGAATGGGATGGAATAAGTAATGGATAGGAAAAAAAAATCACAAAAACCCCTAATATTTAAATAATGTTTAACCCACCTTCAAATAATATTGATTACTTTCCTATTTTGAAAACTGTGTGATCAAATTATAAACAGAGTTTAAAGTCTGGGATGTAAAAATTGGTTTAGTCATAATAGAATATTATTCACAACAGATATACCAGGATTAACCAAGATATCTACATGATACTCATATATAATTTTCAACATAATCTGTACTTCTTTGATTCTCTAAAATAATGTATTTAATAAACTGGTCAAAACAAAGTGATTCTGTGGGGGAAGCTCTCCTCAGTACTACTCAGAGGAACCAAAGGCAACAGTTAAGCACCTAGAAACAGTTCAACACTGGGGCAATATATATTGTGCTACTTGGGCTTTACAGTACAATGGATCATCAGTACCAACTCAGCAGTGCTTGAAGAATTCCAAGGGCATTGTCCCCTGTGGCAACTACGGGGCTCATGCATGAAGTTCTGCAGTTCAAATATAGGTCATGTATGCTAAACGCTGTGTATCTCCTGGGCACTAAAGATTTAAATTTTAACAACAAGAATTTAAAATGAAAAAAATTTTTCTAAGTTTCATCGTTATACACTATTACTACTCTTCTATGCCAAAACTATAACAACATTAGTATGTTATCATCATTAAATAAATTTCAAATTCTTTTTTTCATTTTTTATAATTTTATTTATTCAATCACCGTGAGAGCAGTTACAAAGCTTTCAGGTCTAAGTCTCGGTCATACAATGAAACACCCGTACCTTTCACCAATTCCCATTCTCCAACCACAACAACCCCTGTATACCCCCATCCCACACCCTCCCCCTCCTACCTGTGGGGCAGATGATTTCCACATTACTCTCTCTCTATTTTGATCACATTCAATATTTTGACACCAGACCCACCATTATTATTTGAGATTTTACCCCAACACTCAGATCTGCTGAAAAGGCAACAGTAGACAATTTGTGTTCTATTTCTGGTTATGAATAACATATGATGTCACGTGGCTGCAGTAGTGGCCATGCGATTTTGAAATTCCAAAATTTTAACACTTAAACCTGGAGAGATTTCTGCCAAAACCTGCTAGGTTCTGAGACTTGCTCCTGAGTCTCTGGGATCATGGCCGTTAAGCAGCTTGATCAGGACCCAGAGAGGCCATTTGTGGTCGATGACTTGGGGTCTCGTGGGATGGGGAGGACAGGACAGGTTCCACCCCCATCCTGTGAGGCACAAAATGTCTCGGCACTGAGAGCCCAAACCTGACTGTCCAATGGCCTCTGAAGGATGACGGCCACCGAGCCGCCCAGGGGGAGCAGGTCGCGGGACAACACCCTTTCTTCCTGAGATGGCCCGGCGACAGTAACCTACTGCGTGGTCCAGATGCATTTCTGCCAAAAGCCGCTGGGTTTTGAGATTTGTTTCTGAGTCTCTGGGATCATCACTGTTAAGTAGTTTGATAAGGAGCCAGAGAAGACGTTCGTCGGCAATGACTTGGGGTCTCGTTGGGACGGTGAGGACAGGACCAGCTCTACCCCCATCCCGTGAGGCCCAACAAGTTTTGTCACTTCGGGCCCAAGCCTGACTGTTCAATGGCCTCTGGAGGATGACGGCCACCGAGCCGCTAAGGGGGAGCAGGCAGAGTGACAATACCCTTTCCCCCCTGGGGTGGCCCGGCAACAGTAACCTACTATGGATTCTGGACGCATTTCTGCCAAAAGCCACTGGGTTTCAAAATTTGTTTCTAAGTCTTCGGGATCATGGCCATTAAGTAGCTTGATCAGGAACCAGAGAGGCCATTCGTGGGCGATGACTTGGGGTCTCGTTCGGGTGGGGAGGACAGGTCTGGCTCCACCCCCATCCCGTGAGGCCCTGCATGTCTCATCACTGCGGGCCCAAACCTGACTGTCCAGTGGCTTCTAGAGGATGGCAGCCATCGGCCACCTGGGGGAACAGGCCAAGGCATGAAACCTATTCCCACCTGGGTTGGTCCAGCAACGGTAACCTCCAGTGGCTTCTAGAGGATGGCAGCCATCGGCCACCTGGGGGAACAGGCCAAGGCATGAAACCTATTCCCACCTGGGTTGGTCCAGCAACGGTAACCTACTGCAGTGACCGGACGCATTTCTGCCTAAAGCTGCTGGGTTTTGAGATTTGTTTCCAAGTCTTTGGGATCATGGTCATTAAGCAGTTCAATCAGGAACCAGAGATGCCATGCCTCCAATTATATAGCTGAGCCGGAGGTGGTTTGTGGGTGTGTTTCCCACATACCTAATTTTTGGCCGTTTACTTTCTTGGTAAACTTTGCCCCAAGTTTTTGGGGTCTGGCCAAAGACACAGCAGCAATTTTGGGGTATCTGGAAGTCTGAAGGCGCCATCAGGCTGCTGATACACTCGCCTCACAGGTACAGATTGACCTGCTGGTGGCACCATACCTCCTAAATTTCAAATTCTTATATATTAGTATAAAGGATCAGTTCTTACCTTATGTAAATATTTCTCCTCATCAGTATAAATTAGAATGTTTATAGACCCAACTTCCTTGTTGTCTCAGTGTAATATTTGAAATTCAGGTTAATAGTAATAAATTATAAATCATGAACATAAATCATTCAATATCTCTAAGAAAAATATCTTAGACAATATCAAATAACCTACCAAGACCTAAATTGAAATTAAAAAGTCATGCATCAGAGTGGTCTAGAGATATTTGGAGATATTGAAAAGTATTTAAAATCCATGGTACATTACTTAGATTTGTTATAAATAAAAAAAATCACTCTAGACTTTACAAGTCACATTATCCTTCAGAAGTTATTGTGAAATCTAAGAACAAAATTATTGTTTCAAACTATTCACTTGACATATTCAACTCATTAATTTTTTAAACTGCAAAGTTGTTAAGTACCAGTAAAGACCTTACCATGAACCTAATGGAGATAGTATTTTATTTTCTGGTCAGGAATTTCTACCAAAAATATGAATCCTCCCAATATGTAGTTCATAGCTGGTTTTAATGACTAGGTAGACCAGGACTGGGGCTACGGAAGATGGTCTTTTCTTTTTCTATAGAGGGTTACAGTATGTAGTTCAATATATAAATTTATAATTATGGCGGTGTTTCAAAGAAACTATTAATATGACCAGGTATCAGAGTAAATTTAGAACATGAGCAGTAGTAGTTTGTCAACCTCTGGTCTAGGTTACCCAAACCCTTATTTTATGTTGTGATTAGTGATCAAGAAAAAAATTTCCACAAGAAAAAGGTGAATTCAATGTTCCATACCTATAATTATCACAATTCCTTCATTTGGGTGATCAGCCCTAACTATTTCTGATTTTGACAGTAATAATAACCCTACATGTCAATTTTTGGTTAAAAAACCTAAGTTCCTTGGATGTATATACTATTATCTTTCTCTTAATATGTAACTACCATTATTCCCAAATCTAGTATTTACAAAAAGTATATTGCAAGAGTATTAAGTTTACTGTAAAATTAAACTTACCCTCAGGATAGCATAAGATGGCTTTTTTTTCTTTTCAACTGTATAAAGACTGATTTCTATGTCACCTTTTGAAGTTCGGCATTCTTCCTGAACTCTAAGGAACAAAGGCGAAAGTAACAAAAGAATCAAGAAAGCAAACTAAAAGGTCAGATAACAAAATATTTTTAACGTGAAATTTGACCATTTAACCATTTTGATGTATGATTCAGTGATATTAATTATAATGTTATGCAACTATAACTAATATTTCAAAAATTCTTTTATCATTATTAAACAAATAAAACTAATATGAAATAATACCTTACTTCTCCTTCCTCCAGTTCCTTATAACCTTTAAGGTATTATTTTTCTCTGAATTTGCCTACATTTAGTAGCTAATGTAAGTATAATCATATAGTATGCATCCTTTTGTATTTGACTTATTTTATTGAATATACTTTCAACATTTATTGAGGCATCAAACTTCACTCCTTTTTTGGCTGTATTATATCCTAATATATGTACAGACTACATTTTGTTCATTCATCTCTTCCCAGATATGAGCAAACTGTGCTAATTAACAATTGTAAATATTGCTGCCATGAACATTTCCTACAGCATCTACTTGAGTCTCTGCTTTCAATTCTACCTTTAAGATAGGATACATGTGATGCCCTTTCAGTAACAGTATTGCAAACCACACTTCCTAAAAAGTTTTTACCTTTTAGGAAAAGGAAGAAAAGTGTCTGCCATAAAGGCAGGCCGGGGGCTGGAGGGAAACCTGGAACTCTGGTGGAGGGAAGTGGATAATGGTGAAGGTATGGGTGCTTGAAAATTGTAAAACTGAAATTCAATCACAAACAGATACATAATTGTGACACCCCCCCTCTGTCACAGAGCTGTGTAAAATCCTTAGCTCGGGGATTACCATTAAAGGATGGATGTCCGCCGGGTCTCTGGGCGGCTCTCTCTCTTGCAGCCCGCGTTTGGTGCTCTCGAACTGCTTCCCCACCCAGGAGGACTGTTGCCTTGGATGGACGAAGGAAGAACTAGGGCCAAGCTGGTTGCTAATTAGTTGCCATTTATTCAATCTCTCATCTCTCCCAGCTCTCTCCAACCTTCTCTCTAACTCACTCTACAACACCCTCCCGTGACTCCTTTCGGATCTCCCCCGACACTCTTACTCTCTCCTCTCAGCCTTCTGTCTAACTCACAAACATTCCTCTAACTCTGTCTCCTCTTCGTTTCTTTCTCTGTCTCTCCCTCAATCTTCCTTTTCCTCCCCACAGCTGCTCTTCTTTCCCTCTCTTTTGGGCTCCCCAACCCAAGGCGTGGAGACTCTCCACGCCTCCCCAACCACGCCTCCCCACGGGAAGTGCAATCAAAATGTTTTTCTAGTCTTTCGGACCACCTGCAGCCCAGGAGGGCAAAACAGCCCTCAAGCTGTGTTTCTGCTCTCCTTAAACCAGCAACTTAACTAACATCTTTAATTCTACTTGCTAATATCTATCATTCTGTATGGACACAGTGATAGACACTTTTAGGCTTATAGGGTAACTCTACTGGGGACATCTCACCAGACTCAGACTACAGTGCTCAGGCCAGATAAATCATTCCTAACCCCAGAAGGGTCCAAATATAGTTATTACTTTTTGTATCATGACGAATTTGTCCATGACCAAGCTCTTAACTTTATAGATAAGCATTATGGCACTTTGGCCAGGCCCATTTTGATGCCAGGGTAGCTAGCTCACCGCTTGCCCTGGGTCCATCCAGTCCCTCTTTGGGATCCCGCTCTAGGAAGTAAGGGCAACTGAGGCTTAAGTCAAGAGAGCAGATGTCCAGGAGGTAATACTATCTGGAGTCAATCAACTCCCAAGTCACAGGCTTGTCATTTTAACTGTTTTCCTGTATCCATACAAAAAGCAATTGCTCTGGAATAACTAACCATGCAAAGGACAGTAAAGAGAGGAGAAAGACAATATTTACAAGTCAGAGTCTGATCAGGAGACAAAAGTAATAGGCAGGTTGAGGGAGCAATTAACAAACACAAGCTCCAGTGGCCAGGGAGGAAGGCCAAATCAATGTTATCCTACATGTAACCTTGTACCTTGTGGTGACTCAATAAATTTTATGAACGACAAAGAAAGAAAAAAAAACAGAAAAATGAGTTATGGGATAAAATGTACTCAGTAGTAAAATGAATGCACAGAACTGTTTGGAGTATTCTTTGATGATATTTTTGGGTCTGTGAGATCTATAACAATATGTTTTTCTCTCATTTAAAAAACATATGAAAAAAAGAATTATTCCAAACTGTTTAACATTCAGGCATTAGCACTTAGTTCATTAGTTATAATGTATCAATTATCTATTCTTTTGTCTTTTTGCTGTGAAAGAAAAAAATTAAACCAAAGTAATTTTGTTCTCCTTGCATTTTTCTGTGGTTCTAAGGAACAAACCCGGGGTTTGTTTCACACAGGCAAGACAAATGTTCTGCTGATGAGCAGCAGTTCTGCCCCAGAACCAAATAATTTTGTTGCATGTAGAATAATTTTACTAGCGATAGGTTAGAAAAATTACATAAAATAGATTTCATAGTTCTATGTCAATGTACTTTTCTTTTTGCTAAATCTTTCTGTAGTTAAAATTATAGCAAATGTGGGGCTGGAGCAATAATACAGCAGGCAGGGCATTTGCCTTGCTTGAGATCAACCCAGCATCCCATATGGTCCCCCGAACACCACCAGGAGTAATTCCTGAGTGCAGAGCCAGGAGTAACCTCTGTGCATCACCGGGTATGACCCAAAGAGCAAAAAATTATAGCAAATGTTCAGATTTACAAATAAAGATAGGGTCTAAAATTTATCTTAGTGTAATACTTTCAACCAATAAACTTTATATAAAAGATATTCCAAATATACTCTCCCCATGCACTGTGGTCCATAAAAATATCTACTCTGCTCCTCCAAACAGTTCCAATGCCAAATAGATAATAAACATCTCAGATACACTGTTGAAATTAACCTCAACACTGAGATTGCAAACTATATATGGCCTCAAGTTTTACTTAGTACTATTTACATTCATATATCCTGGAAGATAGAATATATTTTTCATTTTTCAGTATTCTCTAAACCAAAGGTTCCAAAAGTTATAAAATCACTCAGTGCCCCCTTGAAATCTACTTTTAGGTAACAAAAAAAAAGCTGTCCCATTACACTAGAAACTAAAACCATATCCCTGGATCAGTCTAGCCCTTCTGAGTCCCACTCTCTTCAGTGGACCAATTGTGTATAAGACTGTTCTAATAATTTAGCGCAAAGCTAAGTAAATTCAAAACACCCCAAAATATTTCCTACAAAATAAGCAGAAAAATATAGAAAAATCAATGGATACTTCAATAAGATTAAAAAAAAAACCTGTGTTCATAGTAATATGTGTACTTTGATTCACTTACTGAAAAGTGAATTTTAATTTTCTTATGTTACCTATGAACTCACCTACTAACACCATTATTTAGTTCGTTGACCACTACTCTTCTACTCCATGCCATGAGATCTCGTTCGGTGGCCATCTGGCTCCGAGGAGCATTGTTATGCATTTGTCGGACACCCTCAATTTGACCACTACGTCGGAGCCCAATATTTGGGGAAGATATGTCAAGATTTGGATTTCTCTGAGCTATAATAAAAACAAATAAATGCATCACATTCTCAGCAAAAACACAAAACGTTTTCAGATAATATTTATAAAAAAACTGGAGATTCAAAGATAATTCTGGTAAACTATGTCATTGAAACTTTTTTCTATGGTTTATTTATTCCCTATGCTGATTAAAGTCTTATAAAAATGAAGCAAACCCTAAACTGTTTAGTTTCTATAGTTCTTTGAAAAGTATTTTACTGGATCTGGTGGATTCAAATGTTTATTACTACTACTTAGAAAAGCTTTTCAATCTAAGTTAAATATTTAGTTGATTAAAAAGAATTCTAAATAAAATCTCAAAATTCAAAACTAGCAAAAGTAAAATTTGGATAACTATAAAAATTATGCTTTAAAGAATAAGCAATCAAAAGGGAGAAAATAATATTAAAGCTTTTATTTTTAATTCTCTAGAAAGATCAATTTATTTTATTGTAACTATGAATACAATCAAGCGGGCCCAGTAACGTCTCCATTGGAGACTTTGTTGTTACTGTGTCTGGCATATCGAGTACTCTTGGTAGCTTGCCGGGCTCTCCGAGAGGGGCGGAGGAATCGAACTCGGGTTGGCCAAGTTGGCAGCTTGTAAGGCGAACGCTCTACCGCTGTGCTATCGCTCCACAGCGGGTAGGGCATTTGCCTTGCAGGCGGGCAACATGGCCGACCCGAGTTCGATTCCTCCGCCCCTCTCGGAGAGCCCGGCAAGCTACCGAGAGTATTCGATATGCTAGACACAGTAACAACAAAAGTCTCCAATGGAGATGTTACTGGGCCCGCTCGAGCAAATCGACGATCAATGGGAGGGCCTTTTTTTTTTATGAATACAATAAAAATAAAAGCTTAAGTATTCAACATTCAACTACTTTAATGAGCAATATTATATTACATATTATAATAAGTATTTGAAAAAGCTCAAAACAAATGCATATTGCAAACAAAATAGTGGAATCTGACTGATATTTCAATCTATCCACAAAAAATCTAGTAGTTAAGACAGAAGTGAATACTGATTTCATTAAGCGATCACTAAATAAGAGTTGCAAGGACATCTTTTCTTGGGAACAAAGGGAGTACTGTGTAAGATTATAAGCCCATTTCTTATCTTGTTTCAGTAAAGGAAAACTTACATGTACTAGGTGCTCAAAATAATAAGAAGAAAGAACTGCTTTTCGTTAAACCTTACGAAATACTGAAAAAAAGTTAGGAAATAAGTATTCTATGAATTTATTAGAAAATTTTTTCTTTAAACCTTATGAAATACTGAAAAAAGTTAGGAAATAAGTATTCTATGAATTTATTAGAAAATTTAAATGACCTTATTCAGAAACTTAGATCCAGAGTTCTATGTTACCCCCATGACCCAAATTATATAAATGTGCAAATAAGCTCATGACAAGATCCCATAAGAGAATTACACTGGTAGAACTAATAACACTAGTTAAAACTAAACTAATAAAATATAAGATTTATATAAAACTCAGATGCACAGGCACATTTCATGAAAGGAAGGCATATTGTTAATCAAATACTGATATATAAGATCAAATGTTTTAAAAGTTAATTTTGATGAATGTTCTTTTGTAAGAGAGCTTTTTGTCTCAATATATTTTTGTAAATTTAAGAAAGGAAGGTGATATGCTACTTCCTTTCAATAAAGAAGGGATATTTTTGTAGCAATTTTTAAACTCATGGTGGCTATTACTTTTCATTTTAGGTCAGATACCCAATGAACAGGCAAGATCTCAGAAATGAGAAACTGAAGTTTCTCATTTGCTTAAACCAAAGTCAAGTTTGTAAGTACATTACTGACTTCAAAGAAAATAGTATCACACATCACAATATGAGATAAATGCCCAAGGTGAGTGGAAACAGGGGTCAGGAGGATTTCTCCACGGTTGGGATCTTGCTACAAGTACTTGTAGGGCAAAGAGTAGGTAAGATAGGGAAGGGATCAGTATGATAATAATAGCTGGAAATGATCACTTTGGACAAGAACTGAGTGTTGAGAGTAGGTAAAGGGACATACATGATAACCTCTCAGTATCTGTATTGCAAACCATAATGCCCAAAAGGGGGAGAGAGACAGCAAGAGAGAGAGAGATGTACCTGCCATAAAGGCAGGCTGCAGTGGGAGGGAAATTGGAGACATTGGCTGTGGGAAATGTACAATGGCAAAGGGATGGGTGTTGGAACATTGTACAACTGAAATCAAATCATGAACAACTTTGTAATCTGTATATCTCACAGTGATTCAATAAAAATATATATTAAGAGAAACACACTACCCATTTTGTTAGTAGTTGCTAAGTAATTTTCTCTACAAATTATGGGTATATGGCACCTTACTATTCCAGTTATCATAACTGTAAGTTAATAGTCATTTTTCTATTTAAAATCTAAAAGGCATCTGACATGCAATTACTGTAAGTGAAATAATTTCCATATATCTATAACACCTTTTTATATAGATACTTACCACCATTAGATGAATATGATCTATTAATTGGAAAGTGAAGAACTTCTCCTTCATTAATTAGTCTCAGGTCTTGTTCTCTTTGTAATTCCCTGATTATTCCATCAAGAATGCTCTCATCTTGATCATTAGTTTGTTGCCCAATTACCTGTTCTACCACTTCACCATCACCTTAATGAGATTAAAAGATAAAGTAAAAAATTGCTTACATTTTAGTATATCCTAAATACAGTAAAAACAAGATGTTTAAGTAGACAAAATACAAAATTAAAATTAATCATATAACAAACAAAATATTTTAAAGAAGTTTGTTTTTGCTATGTAGACTTGTGCATTTGATTAAACCAATAACCCCAAAGTTGTCATTATTATAAAGGTATCATAAATAATGTTAAAGGATAATTATTTTAATTTGAAATAAACTTCATCTATGGAATATTTCATGCTGAATGTAGGGAATAGAGGTAGAATAAACTTGAAACAAATTTAACCACTGATACCTAAATATTTTGCATCTTTCTTTCATGACAACTTACTTTCCTAAAGAAATAAAAATTACATTTCTTAAATATTGCCTTTTACAAAGAGTGATCACATCATACCCAATGAGTATCGACGATATCAAAAAACATAGAAACAACCAGTGCTGGTGGTAATATGGTGAAAATGGAAGCCTCATTCCCTGCTGGTGAAACTGTCTTCTGGTTAAGCCTCTATGACAGTATGGAGAATTTTCAAAAACTTAAGAACTGAACAACTATTTGACTCAGCAGTTTTACACTTTGATAACTATTATTATAACACAAATGTATAAATTTGAAAAAATATATGCATAACTATGTTCACTGCAGAGTTGATTATGATAGCTAAGATATGTACATAACCCAAATGTTCAATAAAAGATCAGTGGATAAAAACTGGCATATATACACAGCAGAATGGTAGTCAGCTCTAGCAAAAAATGTAATCATCTCATTTGCTATAACTTAGATAGAACTAAAGAATACCATGTAAAGTGAAATAAGTCAGAGGGAAAAAGAAAAATACCAGATGATTCCACACAAATGTAGGATATAAAGAATGAAGAAAGGAATGAATGAATAATAGTAAATGAAAACAAACACCTAGACTCTACTAGCAGAGCTGAGGTTGACAGGAAGGTTATCAGGAGTCACAGAAGAACAGTGATGCAGAGGCTAGAGCGATAGTGCAGTGGGTAAGGCGCTTGCCTTGCACGTGGCCTACCACAGTGCAATTTTTGGCATCCCCAGTAGTCCCCAGAGCACCACCAGGAGCAATACCTGAGTGCAGAACTAGGAGTAAACCAGAGGTGGCCCCATAAAACAAACAAATAGTAATAAGGGTGCAGGTTTTTGGGCTCTATATTAAGACCATTAATAAACCATGTTACCTTAACAATAAAAACCAGAATGTCTTTTAATAGCATATCAAATAATGGTGATTAGAAAAAAATAATTATTCATGATATACTGAAATTCAATGCTTATTTCTAAATGAAATCTATTTCTGCTTTTAACAATTTTTTCATCATTATATCTAGTCAGATAAAATAAAATCTGATAGAATAACCAAGAAATCAGGTTTCACTCTTATAAGAAATAAATGTAATATTTTCATATTAAGTTTTTATTTTATTTTATTTTATTTTATTACTTTTTGGGTAACACTTGGCGATGCACAGGAATTATTCCTGGCTCTGCATGCAGGAATTACTCCTGACGGTGCTGGGGGACCACTTGGAATGCTGGAAATCGAACCCAGGTTGGCCGTGTGCAAGGCAAACACCCTACCTGCTGTGCTTTTGCTTCAGCCCCCTCAGTTTTTATTTTTAATCTCCTATTTAGAACTTACTCCTAGTGCAACAAATATCATCTTATAACTATTTCCACCTATCACATCATCTAACTGCTCTACAAATCTTTGAGAATACAGAAAAAACACTGTGTATATAAGTGTGCAATACGTCACTTTATAAAGTTCAATTAAAATAATTCAATTAATTTAGTCAATAAATAAAATTCCATTTGAAAATCAGTAACTTACTGACTCATAGTTGGAAGAGAACCTATCAGTAACAAAATCAGACATGAGGGCATTCTAGTTGTGGGAAAGACAAAGGGTGAAAGAGACAGTGCATATAAGGGAAATATGCCACTAATAAGAGTTGGTTTGCTAGAAAATAACTTACTCCAGTGTCTTATTCTACTATTAATTACCATACTCATTAGTATTTCCTCAATATACTCCAGGGTTTTATATTATCTATATACCCCCACCACTCAATAGTCCTTGCATTTCAAACATGAGAACAGCCATTTCCCAATTTGTGTTTTCTAAATTTCCTCTTAGTTTCATTTACTGAGCTGGAGTGATAGCACAGTGGATAGGGTGTTTGCACTGCAATGAGCCAACATGGCCGACCAGAGTTTGATTCCTTCGCCCCTCTACAGAACCAGGCAAGCTACCAAGAGGATCTTGCCCGCACGGCAAAGCCTGACAAGCTACCTGTGATGTATTCGATATGCCAAACACAGTAACAATTGTCACAATGGAGACGTTACTGGGCCAACTCGAGCAAATCAATAAACAACGGAAGGACAGTGACAGTGACAGGTTCATTTACTATTGTTTTTCAAATAAAAACACCAATAGCAGGCTGGAAAGATAGCTCAAAAGTTTGGAGTTTATGGTTTATATTCAGTAGTCCTAGTTTTTTTAAAATTTTTATTAGTGGAACACCATGAGGTACAGTTGTAGACTTACAGATTTTTGTGCTTGGGTTTCAATTATACAATGATCGAGTACCCATCCCTCCACCAGTGCCCATTTTTCACCACCATGGATCCCAGTATCCTTCCCACCCCCCACCCCCCCATTCCACCCTGCCTCTGTGGTAGGACATTCTCTTTTGTTCTCTCTCTCTTTTTAGATGCTGTGGTTTGCAAAAGAGGCATTGAGTGGCAATCATATTCAGTCTATAGTCTACTTTTAGCATGCATATCCCATCCTGGGGGGACCCTTCTAACACACTTTATTTGGTGCTCCCTTCTCTATCTGAGTTGCCTTTTCCCCTGGCATGTGTGGCTGGCCTCCAAACCACGGAGTGAACCTCCTGGTACTTATCTCAGCTATTCTTGGGTATTAGTCTCCTATTTTGTTATTTTATGTTCCCCAGATGAATGCAATCTTTCTGTCTGTCCCTTCAGTAGTCCTGGTTTGATCCCTGCTACCACATGATTACTGGTGCAACACTGGTGTGGGTGTGGTAAAAAATGTTATTAATACCACAAATTAAAAGAACTGAAAGAATTATAATAGTCTGACACATTACACTTGGCACATTTAACCATGGTGGTGTTAAAAGTGCAGTAACTTTGTAACATTAAAACCATAAATGATACCACTATTACAATAAAATTTCTTCGAATTGCGCACAGGAGATCCACCCTAACCAGATAAATACCCCACTGGCAGACTTCCACTATCGACAACTACTCCCACTACCCAGCCGTTGCCACACTCCAGGACGCTTTCCGGACCCGCGTGGCAGATCCGGCCGAGATCCACGCACGACTGAAGACCCACAGAACAAGATAAGCGGAACTCTCTGAGACCTTGGACTCCAGGCTTGGCGGACTCAGGGACAGAGCTTCTCTGCTTGCTCCCACCAACCACAGGTGACAAAGGGATTCTAATCAGGAGCCCCACCCCACCCTGCCCTGTCTGCTTCCATCAACCACCCAGGGATCTAATTGCACACAGGAGACCCACCCTACCCAGATAAATACCCCACTGGCAGACTTCCACTATCAACACTACTCCCACTACCCAGCCGTCGCCACATTCCAGGAAGCTTTCTGGACCGGCGCGGCCGCAAAGCGGCCGCACAACACGTCATAACATATTAAATACCCATCTTCCGGAATTGTCGTACCGTATTTGATAGGGTTAAAATATGGTAACACCTACAAGGGTGATGAGAGGTCGCCCCAAAAGCCTCTATCCCTCTCGGAAAAACTGGCAAGCTACCGAGAGTATTCCGCCCGCACGGAAGAGCCTGGCAAGCTATCCGTTGTGTATTCGATATGCCAAAACCAGTAACTACAACTGGTCTCATTCACCTGACCCTGAAGGCTTCACCGACATGGCAGCACTGAGAAGGATGAGAAAGGAGAGGCCGACAAAATCTCAAGGCCGACCTATGCTGCCACAACAAAGGAAGACAAAAATGATCAACTGTACTTTCAATGCACGTATGCTAGCATCAGATGCATCCATCGAGGATCTGATGGTACAAGCGCGAATGATCAAGTACGACATCATTGGTCTGACCAAGACAAGAAGGCACGAATCTCACCATGCCGTTTTCGACACTGGAGAAGAATTGTTCCTCGGAATGCGATAAAAGAGGTGCTGGAGGTGTCTGTGTTCTTGTCAACACAAACTTGGCCAAGAGCATTGATTAATTCGAATGCCTAACAACCCAAATCAGACGTTTACATTTCAATAGATGTGGCTCACTGCCTGCAGTTTCTATCTTCATTGTCTACGCACCAACATCTCATTATGATGAAAGAGAAATCGAGAAGTTCTACATGGAGCTAGAAAAGGTCTATAAAGAAGACCACACCTTCTACAAGATCATTGTGGGTGATTTTAATGCCAAGATAGGACCGAGAAGATCAGCTGAAGAACTTCACATCGGGACCCATGGCCTAGAATGGAATGAACAGGGTGAGAGACTGTCTGAGTTCATCATGTCGACCAAGACCATTCATGGTAACTCACAGTTCCAGAAGGCAGAATCTAAACGATGGACATTGGAGTCTCCGGGTGGACGATTGCACAATGAAACAGACCACATCATATTCAATTGACGGTTTTGCCTGACTGATGTCGCTGTTGTCCCAAAATTTTGAACGGGATTGGACCACTGTCTCCTTCGTGCAAAATTCTACTTCACAGAGCAGGGAGAAAGGGCTGCAAAGTTCAAAAAGAGAACTCCCAGAATGACCACCACCACCAACTGGGAACTCTTTGGTACTATTGCGGCAACCTGGGAAGATGCCATTGTTGACAACATTGACGAGGAATACGATCGACTGGTTCAGCACCTCCATGAATGTGCGAGGAACGCCAAGAGAGAGATAGCCACAAAAAAAATCGCCTATCTTCGAAAACTCTTGAGCTAATTCGCCAGCGTGGTTTGGCGCATGCCTCAGGCAACCGCAAGCTAAAGTCCGAGCTCCCAAAGCAGTGCAGAGATGCGATCAAGGAAGACCTCAAAGAGAGAAGAGCAGAAGTACTGGTAGATGCGGCAGAAGCCGGGAAAAGTATTCGTAACGCCCGCCGTCCTTCGCAAACTACAAGACCAAGATGACTGCCCTCCGACGTCCTGATGGATCCATCACATCCTCCAGAACGGCAATGGAGAAGATTATCCATGACTTCTACTCAAATCTCTTCGATAGCCATGTCCACTTGCCGACATACCAAATTCCACAGGATGGATATGTCGTTCCCAACGTTCTCCCTTCCAAAATCCGACACACCATTTCGTCGGTAAAGAAACAAACAGCACCCGGCTCAGACAAGGTCAGACCTGAACACCTGAAGAACCTGCCATCAGTACTCATCAATACACTGGCTCGGCTCTTCACTTGCTACCTGTCTGAATGCAAGGTTCCATCCCAATGGAAAACCAGCATGACCGTACTACTGTTCAAGAAGGGAGACATCCATGACATTGGCAACTATCGCCTGATCTGCCTATTGTCTGTTATCTACAAGTTGTTCACTAGAGTCATCCTAAATAGGATTGGCAGAACACTAGATGAAGGACAACCATACGAGCAAGCCGGGTTCCGCAAAGGATTCAGCACCACTGACCATATCCACACGATAACCAAGCTCATTAAGGTTTCTCGGGAGTTCAAGATGCCAATCTGTTTAACGTTCATCGATTTAAAGAAGGCCTTTGATTCTGTTGAGACGGATGCGGTCATTGAAGCCCTAGCCAATCAGGGCATTCAAGCTGTATCGTGGATTCACTACCAGGATCTCACCATTCTACAAAGAAGTGACCGTTGATGTCAAGAGAGGGGTGCGGCAGGGTGATACCATTTCACCGAAACTCTTCAGTGCCACCCTCGAGAACATCATGCGACGACTGGAATGGGAAGGAATGGGAGTGAAGATAGATGGTCGGCAACTACACCATCTGCGCTTTGATGATGACATTGTTTTAATAACACCAAACATCAGCCAAGTGGAACAAATGCTGGCCGACTTTGACCGTGAGTGTGGAAAGGTAGGACTACAGCTGAATCTTACGAAGACAATGTTTATGAGAAACAGCCTCATTCCTGATGCCCCATTCGCTCTCAACGGAACGACCATCTATGAATGCAACAGCTATGTGTACCTAGGTCGAGAGGTCAACATGACAAATGACCTGGCACCCGAGCTGCGCAGGAAGAAGAGAGTGGCTTGGAACGCCTTCAAGAACGTCGAAGAAATAGCTAAGAGGACGAAGAACCTCCGTCTCCAGGCACATCTCTTTGATTCCACTGTTCTTCCTGCATTAACATATGCCTCAGAGACCTGGGCCCTACACAAACAAGATGAGAACGCTATTCAGGTCTCCCAAAGAAGAATAGAAAGAGCTATGCTTGGAATATCACGTTTCACTCAAATGAGAGAAAGAATCCGGAGTTCTGACATCTGTCGACGATCAAGAATCAGGGACGCTGTCTCATTTGCCAAGGTGTCGAAAATCAGATGGGCTGGTCACGTAATGAGATTTAAAGATGACCGCTGGACTAGAGCTGTTACCGACTGGATTCCACAGGATGTCAAAAGACCGCGTGGCCGCCCACCTACCAGATGGTCAGACTTCTTCGTCAAGATCATGAAAGATCGGTTTGAGGCCCTTCATGTTCCCGTAGCGAACAGATGCCATTGGGCTACACTAGCATGCGACAGGGACAAATGTAGACGTTACTGGTGCCCGCTCGAGCAAATCGACGACTAACAGGAAGTTAAGTGATTAAGTGATTAAGTGATAAGAAGTCAAAATTATAAAGAGCAGGATCATTAAATTTTGAATGGTTCTAAGGGAGCTCAACAATTCTTTGCTTGCACAATAGCTTATATCTATCTAGGTGTAATAAACAATGTGACTTATTCCAGTAATTTAGTGAAAAAGTTACTAATCACTGAAAACTACTAGAAAATTTTATGTAAAATATGAACTAGTAACAGCAACCATTCCCACACCCTAAAACAGTCACAATGCCACCTACTGAACTGCCCAGCTAAATAATCTGGATTTTCTGGTGTGACACCTCCAAACTGTACAACACTGACATCCAGTAGCAGTACTGGACTGGATGTAATATAGAAGCCAAGTAAATCTCAACTGACAAAAACATTAACACCGAAGGCCTAAATTGCAACAACACCTTAGTAAACCCTAAGAAAAGGATTTAATGTCCCCATGGTGAGATGCAACAGTTTTCACAAATTTTCTTTACAAAAAGTATTTGATCGTTCTGTTAGCCATGCAGTGGTAACAACTGTCATTGTCACTTTCCTCCCATTGTCCATTGATTTGCTCGAGCAGGCCCAGTAACATCTCCATTGGAGACTTTTGTTGTTACTGTGTTTGGCATATCGAATACTCCACAGGGAGCTTGCCAGGCTCTGCCGTGCGGGCAAGATACTCTTGGTAGCTTGCCAGGTTCTCCGCGAGGGGCGGAGGAATCGAGCTCACCTCGGCCATGTTGGCTGCATGCAAGGCAAACGCCCTACCGCTGTGCTATCACTCCAGCCCAACAATCAATATAAAATAAATTATTTTGGGCCTGCTATAGGTTCAAGCATATGGGGTGGCTGGGAAAACAGAGACAATGGTGGAGAAAGTGTAACAACTGTGGTGGGATTGGTGTTGGAATATCGAATGCGTGTAACAAATCATCATGAAAAACTTTGTAAACAATGGTGTTTCTATAAAGTGGAAAATTTCAAAAGTAGTTTAGCAAGAGAACATATACCATAGTAGGTATTACATTTTGCAGAATTTTCTAAATTTAATTTTTGAGATAACATACCATTAGCTACATATCCCAGCTGTGGTACAAGTTGTTCATCTTTACAATTTTCCCGTCCTGGTACTAGTCTTTGGAATTTTGTGGGATGAGGATTTCCATCAACATCCACTAAGAACGGGGGAGGCATAAGGTGAGGAGCTTGTTGGGTTTGTTCATCCAATACATAGTTGTTGGCATCACGAATAAGAGGTCGATAATCCGTGTGGAAGAACATCTGATCTGGAATCTTTATGACAGATTTTAGTACTTAACATAATAGATAAATGAGCTCTTAATTTAATTTATAGAATACACATGTTTTTCAAATAAACAATGTTTACACTTTTAAAAACCTTTATTGAGGTACTATGATTTGCAATACCACTAATGATGATCCCACTCATAGATCATTCCAATACGCCATCCATCATCAGAGTACTTGCTTCCCTCTACCAAGATCTCATAGGACTCTCTCCTTCAAACCCTTCTCTGCAAAATTTTGACAATTTTATGTGTGGATTTTAGGCCACATTTGGTGGTGCTAAGAGACTATTTCTGGCACTGTGTTTAGGGAGATGAGGGGTCAGTCCCAGCATTGGTCAGGAGACCAAGCAGTGCCTGGAATCTTGTATGCAAAACACCCATTCTCAGACCACCAAACTCTCTCCAGTCCCAAACCTTTACACTTTTATAGTCCACTTGTGCCATATCTTCTCGCCAAGTAAAATTGAATTGCTTGGATAATAATACCATCCTTTTTCTACAATATTTCACATTTAAAATACTATTTGAATCTGTTATCTTTCTCCAACGAGGATAAGAAGGAGTAAAGTAAAATTCACAAGAGAAAAAGTTAGATATCCTTATTTAAGATGCAAGCTCATAAAACCTTTAAGACGTTTTTTAATTATCTGAAAAGAGTGTAATACAAACAGCAATACAAACAGTAAGGCATATAAATAACAAGTGCATCAATGGTACTAAAAGGTAATACAAGACATAAGCTGAACTCAACTATTTTGAATTCACTTCCATATCACAATTCTATAATCTATTCCAAATATATATAGGCAATAAAACATAAGGAGCAATTATGCCAGCATTCAAAGACTTTTAACAAGAAATAATAGGTAAAATAATGAAGGAAAAAATAAGCATTTGGGCACGAGTTACCAATTCCAATTTATAATAATAAAAATGCTATTTGGTAATTACTTTCCTATTATACCTAAATGGCAGTATAAATATTTATGTTCCAAGTAAATGATTTTTCTAATGGATTTTTATGTCTATACTATCAATAGTTTTAATAATAATTTGAATCACAAAGCCTTAAATTTAGGAAGTGAAATTTACAAGGAAAGGTAATAAGTGCCTAAAATCTATTGACATGTAATAATTCTTACTAACTGAAAGAATTCAAAGTTTACGAATGATGCAACTCAAAATTACAATCTACAACAAAAATAAATATACAAACCTTTTCGTAGTATTTACTGCATCCAAAACCAAAAAGCAGCAAATGCCCATGAGAATCTGTGCAAGCAAAATGGTTTCCATCTGGAGAAAATTTACAGTCAAATACTGCACCATGTCCTTGCCCTTCGATCTGAAATTTAGAGGGATTACTTTAGGTAATATAGGTAATTTATCTTGTAGGTAATTTTTATATAATAAGTAGACAATTGTTTCTGTTTAATATTGTGAGTTTATTTATTAATATTGTGAGTTCTGTGATGTATCAAAATTCCAAAATTCTCTCTGGCTTCTACAGCCAGAAGCCTCTAAAACAGTAATGAGAATAAGAAGTATCAAAATGCAATAGATGATATAATACACTGTTAGAAATGTCATACCTCAAGAAATACTAAACAGTTGAAAATAAAATAGACCTAGACAATCAAATTAATATAAAGGCATTAGAAAAGTAATGATATCCTCAAATGCTAAATTGCAATGTGATTAAGCTATAAAATAATAATTTTCAATTAAAACACATAAATTAACTTTATTAACAAAAATCACAAGAAATCAATAATCTAGATCTATACAAAACCTATTAAAGGGAGCTCAAGGACCAATAATGTAGAACAGCTTAGTTAGCAATAGTCTTTGGATAAAGGCACTAAAGCTAGATGATATGAATATTCCAATCACTGTTGAAGTAAGTGATTCTACAAGTGGAGAAGATAGTTCACCAGATTTTCCAATATTTGTATGAAATTCATTTTAAGAGTATCCATATTTCCAATATCACAGTTGCTAAAAACTTCCTGATAAATAACTATGCCATATGAATTTTCCAGAATCAGATAAAATAAACTCACTGTAGTGACCATAGTGATTTATAAATTAGGATTATAGTTTAGGGGCCACACCTGAGGATGCTCAGGGGTTACTCCTGGCTCTGCACTTAGGAATTTCTCCTGGCGGTGTTCGGGGGACCATTTGGGATGCCTTGGATGGAACTAAGGCCAGCTGTGTACTATAAACAGGCCCGGGGATTACAGTTTAACGATTTTTTAAATTTTGGTTTCTGTTAACACCAAAAGCTTAAGGAATATCAGTTTCTATTCTATGGAGATGAGTACTAGAATTTGGAAGATGCTGACAAGATAACAAAATTAACTTAAAAGCATAATTCCCAACTGCCTCCACACTGAGGTATTTAGTTGTTCTCTAAGTTATTTTAGGAATTTAAAAACAGACAGTAAGAGAAAACAGACAGTAAGAGGTCCTTTGACACTAAATATACTTTGTCAAGTTATCATATAAGAGATATCAGCTTTACCATAAACTAAACACATATAAATCCTTACCATGTTAAAATAATTCCTAATCTTGGTCCCCTGGTCAAGGTCCCAAATGAAAATGTTCCCATCATGACCTGCTGAAAGTATGATCCTTTGATCAAAAGGATGTGCTTCCAAAACAAATACTTCATCATCATGACCCTGTGATAAAATCAATATTATAAATGAAAACCAACACCAAGCATCTAGTTTACTTGTACAAAAGAAATTAGACGTCTATCAATTTGGTTCAGATGAATTCATTTACAAAAAATTAAAAGAATTTAAATACATGTACACATCAAATTAGAGCTCACTATATGTTTAAGTACTGGTTTCTCAAAGCATTCAATAGAAGACATACAAATGTTTTTAAAGATACAAGAAACACATTATAGCCAGATGTCTGAAGTGGAATTCATATTTCTAGGACTCTGCTATAAAAGGCCATTGAAAAATATGACTAATATAAATTGTCATTCACATTCAGTTTGCCATGTATGTAACAGACAAATTACCAATGCTCTCCACCAATAATTCTATTTTTAGTTTTGCTGGTCACAACCAGAAGTGATCAGGGGCTATTCTTGGCACTGTACTCAGGAGTGAGTGATTCCTGAAGGTGTTCAAGGGACTATGTGTAGAACCAGTGAGTCTCATGCAAGACATGTCCCTTACCTCTGTTTCTATCTCTCCAAGCCATATTCATTCATAACTCTCATCATTAGTATTTAATTTATACTTTGGAAAATTCTGTAATATACTAAAAGAACAAAGCATAGTGACTGTTCTTTTATAAATTTTCTATTTGGAGGTTTCACTTAATACTTCTCTGAAAAATAGGTTTCCTGCTAAAAATAAATTTGAAAATCAATACTCTATGTTTATATTTCTGTAGCACTGTAGCACTGTCCTCCCGTTATTCATTGATTTGCTTGAGCGGGCCCAGTAACATCTCCATTGTAAGACTCATAGTTGCTGTGTTTGGCATATTGAATACTTCATGGGTAGCTTGCCAGGCTTTGCCGTGCGGGCGAGATACTCTCAGTAGCTTGCCGGGCTCTCCAAAAGGGGCAGAAGAATCGCAGAGGACTCGAACCCGGCTTGGCTGGGTTCAGTAAGGCAAACGCCCTACTGCTGTGCTATTGCTTCAGCGATATTTTTCACTTCCAATAAATAAATTTATTTATTCACTTCCAATAAATAAATTTATTCACTTCCAATAAATATATAAATTTATTTATTCACTTCCAATAAATTTATTTATTCACAATAAATAAATAAGTTTATTCACTTACAATAAATAAATAAATATTAGTATATAAAGACTATTGGGATCATGAGTCTGCAAACTAAGCTACAGTTCAAATTCTGCCTCCTAGACACTTTTTTTGGTGGGGGACACACATATGGTACTCGGGATACTCCTGGCTCTATGCTCATTAATCACTTCTGAAAGGGCTCAAGGGAACACATGTGGTGCCAGGAATAAAATTGGGGCTGGCTGCATAAAAAGCAAGTGCCTTAACCACTGTACTAGTTCTCTCATCACTAGTAGGTAATTTATACAAATAATATGTCAATTTAAAATGTATTGTCACATTTTAAAAATACTTTAGAAAACAAGTATATGACACAGGCCACTGCAAAACCTAAAATATTTATTATCTGTGTTCTTAAAGAAAAGAATTGATGACATCTTGTTAGATCACTGTTGATTTTCTTTAACTCCTGCTAGAGAATGCATGATTAACCATAGACTCCAAGTCTTGTATATCTTCAAGTTGTACTTCACTTAGGAAAACACCAACTTATTACATATTCAGGCCTTCTAAAATTGAACAGCTACTGTGAATCTAAAAAGAGCATTCAATTTTACGTCATGGTAGAGAATTATTATATTTGTCTACATGTAAGTATAAGGAGCGATAGCACAGCGGTAGTGCGTTCGCCTTACAAGCGGCCAACATGGCCGACCCGAGTTCAATTCCTCCGCCCCTCTCGGAGAGCCCGGCAAGCTACCGAGAGACTCATTCGATATGACAAACACAGTAACAACAAAGTCTCCAATGGAGACGTTACTGGACCCGCTCGAGCAATAATAAGAGTATTATATCATATTAGTGTTGCACACAATAATAATAGTTCATCAAAAAAAAACAACAGAGTGGCTGGAGTGATAGGGTGCTTGCTTTGCATGTGGCTAACCCAGGTTTGATCCCCAGCAGCAGGTGATCCCCTGAGTACAGCCAGGCATGATCCCTGAGTGCAGAGCCAGGAGTAAGTCTGCTTAACCAAATCAAAATCAAAACAAAACTACAGACTAAAGTGAAAAGAATTGAGTAGGTAAAATCCTATATTAAAACAATAAATACATAAAATAAGTACACTAAATTAAAAAAACATGTACTGTTCCAACTTAAAAGTTTAACAAAATTCTTTTCTCAGAAAATAAAAAAAATATTTGCATGATAATAATATGTGTTGCTGAATATTAATTTGAAATAATAAATACCTTTCCAGAATACTAACTAGTACACAGTAAAATTACTTTGATAAACTCAAATAATGATACAGCTAATTGATAATTTTATAATAGGGTATTTTACATTTTTGTCCCATGCTAAAAGGGTAATCATTGGATCACCTGGGGAATAAAACTTGACAAACTCATAAATGTCATAAGATGCATAACACTTCTATTTCCACTACTACAAAACAAATTGAAGTCACTGTCCTACTATAAACTCCTGAAGCCATTCTTCCCTCCATTCCAATCAATTATCTCTATTCTGTCACCTAAATTACAAGGTATGAGATAGTAATAATTATATATTGGTCTTTGCCCTAGCAACTGGCTCAGGACTCTTAAAACCCTTTAAAATCTCTGGCTGATAAAATTATAGTCTTTTCACTTCTGGAGAAGCCTTGTTCTCTCATAAACGGGTCTCTCTCTGCCATTTCTTTCTCTCTGTATCCTCACATTTCTCCAAGCAAATTTCTTTAAAATTAAATTATTTTACTTCTCTAAAACAACACCAAAAAGACATTAGCCGTTCATTTTGTTCTAATTTGTCTTTGACCATAATTCTTAATACAGGATTTCTGAAACTCCTGTAATTTCATGTAAGACAGATGTGTCTTTTGTTCTAATGGGTGAGCTCTTGAAAAAGGAATCACACCATGATTAGAAGAAGGGATTTATAGGAGCCCAACCCATATTTTCCTAATAAGGATAAAAGTAGAAAGCAGAGTTAATGACTAATCATAGATTACAAAAAAGCTCCTAGAAACAATAAATAGGTATAGTAGTGGCAAGCTAAAAAATTAATATGCAGACTCCTGACCTGAGGCGGCGCCCATCTCATCTTAATTCCAGGTCAGAACAGCTGCCGGCTCGCGACCCTGGGACCTCCATCTTTCCCTGCAGGACCCCAGGTGTCCCCCGTGATGCCTGAAGAGAAGCAGTTTTGAGCGTCTGCCCTGCCCTCTTCACTCCTGACCTGAGGCGGCGCCCATCTCATCTTAATTCCAGGTCAGAACAGCTGCCGGCTCGCGACCCTGGGACCTCCATCTTTCCCTGCAGGACCCCAGGTGTCCCCCGTGATGCCTGAAGAGAAGCAGTTTTGAGCGTCTGCCCTGCCCTCTTCACTCCTGACCTGACAGCAGTGCCCATCTCATCCCAAACCCAGGGTTCTGTAGAGGCGAGGCCTCCTCAAAGTGGGCGTGGCCTCAAAAGTGGGCGTGGCTTAATTTCCAGCGGGCCAACGCCCACGCGGCCACAGGTTGTTTTCCCACACTAAGGAACCTAGTACCCAAGGAATCTAGTAAACCAACCTACTCAGCAATATGAAGAAACAAAGAAAATCTCCAACACAAGGGGAGAACAACGAAAACAATCTAGACCATTCTGTCAATACAGCTCACCTAAGGGACCTCTCTGACATAGAATTCAGGTACGAAGTCATCAAGATGTTCAATCAACTCAATGAAACAGTCAGACAGACAGCCAGTAACACCACAGAAAAAATCGACAAATTACGAGAAGAAATGAGGGCAGAAATGTCACGATTAAAAGATTCCATAGATGAAATGAGAAATTCAGTTTCTTCTCTTAAAAATAGAATGACCGCAGCTGAAGAGAGAATCAGTGAGCTGGAAGATCAGCTGCAACAAGCCAACATGCAACAACAAACACTGGCAAGGGACCTCAAAATGGCTCTACAGAGAATCAGAGTCCTAGCAGATGACTCCAAGAGGAACAATATTAGAATCATGGGACTACCTGAACCTCAGGGAAACAATCCCAACGAAAAAAACACCGTCAAACAAATCATTGCTGAAAACTTCCCAGAGCTGCACAATGCAGCCATTCAGGTTCAAGGAGCCCGAAGGGTGCCAGCTAAAAGAGACCCCAACAAAAACACTCCAAGACATATCATACTTAGAATGATCGATACTGCCGATAGAGACACAATACTGCAAGCAGCAAGAGCAAAGAAGGAAATCACATACAAAGGAGCATCCCTTAGATTCACAGCAGACCTATCAGAGGAAACCCTACAAGCCCGAAGGCAGTGGCGAGATATAGTCAAAAAACTCATGGAAATGAATGCTTCCCCAAGAATACTCTACCCGGCTAAACTCTCCCTCAAAATCGAAGGAACAGTACATTATTTTATAGATAAACAGCAGCTCAGGAACTTCATAGACTCAAAACCAAACCTAAAGCAAGGCCTAAAGGGGCTACTATAAGAAAAGACAAACCCTACAACCACAACACACCCGCACAGAAACATGACACAAAACCCCATAACCATTCTCTCTCTCAATGTCAACGGTCTAAATTCACCAGTTAAGAGACACAGAGTGGCAAAATGGATACAGAGACAGAACCCAACATTCTGCTGCCTACAAGAAACTCACCTCAACAGCCAGAGCAAACACAGACTCAAAGTCAAAGGATGGAATACAATCCTGCAAGCAAACAACTCCCTCAAAAAAGCTGGGGTGGCCATACTAGTATCTGACAACATTAATTTCACCTTGAAAAAGATTAGAAGGGACAGTGAAGGCTATTTTCTCTTCATCAAGGGATACGTACAACAGGAAGAAATCACACTCTTAAATGTATACGCACCTAATGAGGGAACAGCTAAATT